CCTGGGCATTAAAGATATGAATAATAGAGCCAGAAATTTTAAAAAGTTTTTATTTATGGCTGGGTGTGGTGGCTCACACCTGTAATCCCAGCACTTTGGGAGGCTGAGGCGGGTGGATCACCTGAGGTCAGGAGTTTGAGACCAGCCTGGGCAACATGGTGAAACCCCGTCTCTACTGAAAATGCAAAAATTAACCAGGCATGGTGGCAGGTGCCTGTAATCTCAGCTATTCGGGAAGCCGAGGCAGGAGAATCACTTGAATTCAGGAGGCAGAGGTTGCAGTGAGCCGAGATCACACCACTGCACTCCAGCCTGGACAACAGGGCAAGACTCTGTCTCAAAAAAAAAAAATTATTTATTTATGTTTTGAGATAGTGTCTTACTTTGTTGCCCACACTGCAGCACAGTGGTGTGATCATGGTCCACTGCAGCCTCCACCTTCTAGGCTCAAGTGATCCTCCCACTTTAGCCTCCCAAGTAGCTGGGGCTACAGGTAAGAGCCGCCACATCCAGCTAATTTTTAAAAACATGTTCTATAGAGACGAGGTCTTGCTAGGTTGCCCAGGTTTGTCTTGAACTCCTGGTCTCAAGCGATCCTCCTGCCTTGGCCTCCAAAGGCCTGGGATTATAGGTGTGAGCCGCTGCACCCAGCCTAGAATAAGAGAGTTTTGATCCTCACAAGTCTTAAGAGACTGACATTGGAGAGAGACAAGCAGTCCCATGATGCCATTAAGGTGTTACAGGTGCTGTTAAGGACGAGTTCATGTTTTTTAGGGTTTAGGCTAAGGTGCTGTAATAGAGACCCTAGAATACATTCTGGCTTAAATTAGATGGAGGATTTTTTTTCTGTCTCTCATAACAGTATAGGTAGTCCTACACTGGTGGGTTAGTCCTGCTGACCTCAACTGTCTCTGAGTCTCAGGCAACTTCTCCAGTTTTAGCATCTCTTAGTCAGCATGGAGGGGTCAGGCACAGACCACAGCAGGCCCGGTCCTCTGAAGGACGAGATTCTTCACATGTGCTTGCACCCCATACACCCATTGGCCAGGGAGGGTCACATGACCACACCAGCAGTTCAGGTTGCCTGGATTACAGAGGATGAGAGGCGGTGCTGGGTGATGACTGTAGAGATCATCAGGGTGACCATGGGGAAGGAGCTTGGACTTGACTGTGGGCAAGTGGAAGAGCCAGAGTAGAGTTGGTATTAGAAAGCACCCTGGGCTTATGTGAAGGAAAGATTGAAGTGAGGTGGCCAGCAGAAGTGTAGGAAGACCAAACTGGAGGGTGCTGTGGGAGTCTGGAAGGCTGAGGATAGACTAAGTGGTATGTAGAGATGAGGCTGCAGTGGTATGGAAGGATTCAAGATTGTTCAGGAGGCAGAAGGGACCACGTGGTGGTTTTTGCCTTGGTAGTGAAGAACTGGGCAGATTGTTTGCCAGTGTGTGACATCTTTGTTCCCAAAGGCCTCAGTCTTTCTCTCTTCCCCATCCCTTTCTTATACACAGGCACATACATAGTGTGCTAGAAAGTTGGAGGAAATACTGCAACAGAAAGTATTACATCACACTTCAGTCCCACATGCCCCTAAAAGTTATGTTACTCAATTCCGCTACAGTGGAGTAATCTCTTAGCCGCAGAATTATAGTCAATTTTTTAATACATTGAAAAGAGTGCACTATTTTTAATGTATTTTTTATTCTTTTTGTTTTTCCGTATTAGTGGGTGATTAACAGTGTACTATTTTAAATCAGTTATTTACGTCAGTTGCTAAAAGTTTGAATCATTAATATTCATGACACATTTTATGACTTAAGTAATTTATCTGAGTTATCCTTCACTTGCACGTATTTTCTTTTATAATCATGTTTTATAGATATAACTATAATTTGTGTTTTTGATGCTTTAATGGGCATAATTTGGCAGGTGAGAGCCCCTCAACCTGTCTGCTATGTCATTTCACACCTTTCCAGAGTTTTGGAGAGCATTTTGCCTCTGGCATCAGGGAAGGATCCGGGCTCAGCCCAGTGAGAAGGCAAGCCCATACATGATGCAAGTGCACTTACAGCGCTTGCTAGGACTAGAGCATTTTTTGCTCCAGTTTCACCTTCAGCAAGCACTATATGGTAATCATGTGCTGGCAGCCAGCCTGTCTCAGGGCAGCTTATCTTAAAAAGAAGAGAAGAGCCAGCATGGTTTTCTTGGTATGAGGAATTAATCTGACTTATATTTGGGATTTCCATTTTAGATGTATAAAATTTATATTTCACATTTTGACTCTCCCCAGAATGTATAAGCTTGTCTAAATAAAAAAGGCTACCTTTTTGGTGCACCAAAAAGAAGTCTTTTTAAATGGGTAAGGTATATAGTCTCTGAGCCTTCTCTTCTCATGCGTTCAGCACCTTGAGGCTCACACACCAAGGGCTGGCGCTGGGCAAGGGCCAGTCCTATCTTTGGAATGTGCAGGGTTTCAACAGCCCAGGCCTGCCAGGCTTGTTCACTTGGTTTATTGATTCATTTCAGTGCTCCTTTGTTTATTTATTTTTTTTAGACTAGAGTAGCTTTAATAAGGAAATAGTTTTCTTCCTTCCCCTCTCCCATGTTGTGGATTGATGTCCAGAAAGGAACCCATGTTAGCAAGCAGCAGAGCTAGGATTAGAAGAATCATGTCTGCCTATTTTTTCCAGGGGGCTGTCTTTTCCTACTGTGATTCTTAAAAGTCCTTTCAAAATGGTTAAACATTTCTTGTGATACTATTGTAAGGTTTAAGAATCTGCTTAACTTAGCAGTCCATGCTGCCTGCTTTTTGTGTGCCTTTAATGTGCCCCTGGGACTGGGAGCTAGGTTTGGGCAGGAGTAGGGTGTTGGGAGATGTCCATTATACAAAGTTGATGCAGCTGAGCTTTTTTCATCCTGGGATTCTATGGACATTGCATTCTCTCAGAATCCTTCTTTCCTCTCCTCAGTGCCCTGAGGTACGGCTGAACATCATCTCCAACCTGGACTGTGTGAATGAGGTGATTGGCATCCGGCAGCTGTCCCAGTCCCTGCTCCCTGCCATTGTGGAGCTGGCTGAGGACGCCAAGTGGCGGGTGCGGCTGGCCATCATTGAGTACATGCCCCTGCTGGCTGGACAGCTGGTGAGTGACGAGGCCTGGGGGCCAGGCAGTGCTGCCTCAGAGGAGGTGCAGTATGTCCAGGGCTGTAATAGGGAAATGGCGTGCCTTGGAGGCTTAGTGGAGGCTGTGACAATGCCTGGGGAGTCAAAGGAAGGGACCCAGGAAATAGGGCCTTAAAAGATGCATTGGATTCAATAAGAAGAGGGAAAGGAGCACCTCAGACAAAGTTGAGAAGTATCCGGTCTTTCTGGGGTGGGTGTAGGTTCCATGGGGTGTGGCTAGCAGCTCCCCTTGTCTGCTCTCCCTGGAACCCTTACCTTGGAACCCTTGGTTTCTCCTGTAGGGAGTGGAGTTCTTTGATGAGAAACTTAACTCCTTGTGCATGGCCTGGCTTGTGGATCATGGTGAGTACCTCCACAGGAGCAGCAAGAGGAGATGGAAGCTCCAGAAAGGAAGGATGGATTGGCTGGGGTTGTGGCGGGCAGTGGAGGAGGCTGGAGTCACTCCCCGTGCCACTGGATGCTCATACGGACCAGCTCACGTGCTCTTCAGAGTCCTAGAGAAGTGTTGAGTGGGAGGAGGACGAAACAGATCACCCAGGGGTTGCCTGGTATAGTGGAGAACCAGAGGGCCACTGAGCAGCCAGACCGGGGTTCTGACAGCTCCAAGGTCAGGATTCAAATCTAAAACAAGTCACCTGCTGTCTCTGAATGAGCCCCACACTCATTCTTTAAAACTTCTTATTCCAGTCCCTTGGGGCCATTATGAGAATTGCTCATTGTTTACACTAAGAGAGGTAAAAAATAAAAGGCAATGTTTGTCTCTGTGAAGCCCTGTTTGAAGTAATAAGTGCCACATAATTTAGGCAAATCACTTGTTGGAGCCTTAGTTTGCCCATCTGTAAAATGAGGCCAATAGTGGAATCTACCTCTTGGAGTGGTTGAAAGATACTGTGTTAAAAAACAATTACTAGATAGAGCACATAGTAAGCTCTTTTTTCTCTCTTTGGCTCACATGCAGCCTGGCACCTCGGGGCTGCTTTGTAAGCCATGGTAAGTGTGACCTACATCTTGCCCACATCAGTTCTTCACCTCCAAATCCTTGTCTCTCTCACCCTCACCCTTCTGCAGTATATGCCATCCGCGAAGCAGCCACCAGCAACCTGAAGAAGCTAGTGGAAAAGTTTGGGAAGGAGTGGGCCCATGCCACGATCATTCCCAAGGTCTTGGCCATGTCCGGAGACCCTAACTACCTGCACCGCATGACCACGCTCTTCTGCATCAATGTGAGCCCCCCACCTGCCTGCTGGCCCATCCCTAGGGAACTGCAGTGCCTGGGAGAGGAAGGATGGTAGAGGTTTCCCCAAGGGAGACACCTGGCTTGGGAATGGAGACATGGAGGAGATCTTCTATTCAGAGATGAGTCCTTGGGGAACTGCAGGCAAGGGGGTGGGGCTCCCAGGGTCAGGGTCATAGGGCCTCTGGGACTGGGGACTTGGATGGTGAGGGACCCAGGGCCTGGGAGACTTGACCTGTTGGAGCAGTGATCTCAAGCTTTGTGAGCACCCCTCCCCTTCCCTGAAGAGTGTGTGTCTCTCTCTGTGGTGGGTGAGTGTACAGGCTCTAGGTCAGACCTAGTTATGTGTGTCTCTCTCTGTGGTGGGTGAGTGTACAGGCTCTAGGTCAGACCTAGTTTTAAATTCTGGCAGGGCCATACTTTAGCTATGGACCTTGGATAGTTACATAACTACCTTGGATAGTTACCCCTTGATGCTTCGGTCTTTGTAAGGAGGGGTCCTTTACAAATGATGATTACCCTAGGATCCTTACAGCAGTGACCTCCAGAGTGTGGCGTGGGAAGAAATGATCAGAACACTTAGTTGTGTTTATTTTTAAACCCCATTCTTTCATTTCTAGCTCTTTGTATGGTTTACACATAAATCAGTACATGAGATAATTATAATCGTAGGAAAAGCAAATAGACAGGAGCACTTCCTATCTGTAGCCTAACTGTTCTAAGCCCTGTGCATGTATAACCTGATTAATCTTTATACTCACCAGGCTGTGATTACCAGTATGAATCATAGGGCTTGGTAATTAAGGTCCATCTCCAGAGTAATTAAAGGAAGCCTGAGGACAGAGAAACTGGGACATCACAGAATGGAGACGTGGTATTAGGATGGTGTTAGTGGAGTTGGGAGATCCACTCCTATAACACTGAACTGAGTCCCTGTGTTGCTCAGCCTCTGTAGGGCCTGATAATCACCAGAGTGGCCTGGTCAGAGGCAGTGGGAGATGAGAGTTAGCCAGAAGCTTTGCACTCACCCCTGTTACTCACTGGCCCCCAGGTGCTGTCTGAGGTCTGTGGGCAAGACATCACCACCAAGCACATGCTGCCCACGGTTCTGCGTATGGCTGGGGACCCGGTGGCCAATGTCCGCTTCAATGTGGCCAAGTCTCTGCAGAAGATAGGGCCCATCCTGGACAACAGGTGAGGTCTGGATACTCCCACACACACTGGCAAGGGCTTGTGGGCACCTTCATCTTTGACCTTTGAGGGTAGAGCCCAGGGTCAGAGGCCCGGCACCACTCCTTGCTTGCTGTGTGACCGTGGCTCCTTTCCCTTCTCAAGGTCTGTTTTCTCAACTGTAAAATGAACGTCACAGAATGAAATAGAAAGGGGGGTGATGGGATGGCAGTCTTACATACTAGCAACAAGTCATTAGAAAATGAAATCACCTAATGTTTTATATGTAAGTATTTGTATAATTTATAATTGCACCAAAAATATTAAATAGCCAGGAAAAAATTCAGTGAAAGATGTGTAACACCTCTAGTGTAAACTGTAAAACACTACTGTGAGAAATTAAAGCAGACCTGACCAAGGTGGGCAGATCATTTGTGGTCAGGAGTTCACGACCAGCCTGGTCAACATTGCGAAACCCTGTCTTTACTAAAAATACAAAAAATTAGCCGGTGTGGTAGCACACACCTGTAATCCTAGCTGTTTGGGAGCCTGAAGGCAAGAGAACCACTTGAATCCAGGAGGCGGAGGTTGCAGTGAACTGAGATCACGCCACTGCACTCCAGCCTGGGCGATAGAGCGAGACTCTGTCTCAAAAAAAATTAAAACAGACCTACATAATATTCGTGTGTGGGACAGTTCCCTGAACTCATCTTTAGATTCAGTATAAGCCCATTAAATCTCAACAGGTTCTTTAGTGGAAAATTGACACTTCTAATGAACAAAGTTGGATGATTTATACTACCAGAGACCAAGAGTTACGACACCACAGTAATTAAAATAGATGTGAATACAAGAATATTTAAATCGCCCAATAGGATGGAATCAAGGGCACGGAAACAGTCCCACGTGTGTTTAACAGCAGGCACCTCTGTAGTTCAGTGGAGAAATATATATTTTTTAAAAAACATAGCTGGGTCAATTTGATATCCATGTAGGAATAAAAGAAGCCTCGCCTCTGGCGGGCGCCTGTAGTCCCAGCTACTCGGGAGGCTGAAGCAGGAGAATGGCGTAAACCCGAGAGGCGGAGCTTGCAGTGAGCCGAGATCCGGCCACTGCACTCCAGCTTGGGTGACAGAGCCAGACTCTGTCTCAAAAAAAAAAAAAAAAAAAAAAAAAAAGAAGCCTCGCCTCAATGCATAAACAAATTAATTTGAGATGACAGACCAGAACCAGAAAGATTTAAAAAATAAAACATCTAGAAGAAAATGTAGGAAAATATCTTCATGAGTTAGCGTAGGCACAGCAAACCAGAGGAATTGATGGGTAAGTTGACCTTCTGTAAAATGTAGCACTATTTCTCAAAAGACAGCATTTTGAGAGTAAAATGCAAGCCCTTGACTGGAGGAAGATGTCTGCTATGTATGTTTCTGAGAAAGGACTCATCCACAATACCTGTCTACAAATCAGGCAGGGCAAGAAAGAGATGGGAAAAAAGACTTGAATCGGCACTTGAAAAAGGATCTCCACATAGCTTGTAAGCATATGACAAGGTGTTCAGCATCATCAGCCTTCAGGAAAGTGCAAATTAAAGCTCAGTGACATATCACTACACACCTCCCAGAACAGCCAATATTAAAAAAGACTCAATGGTGCAAATGTTGAAGACATAGAGCTGGAACTCTCATCCGTTGCACGTGAGGCTGTGTATTTAGGGTTTGATCACTCTGAAAACGGGAGTGGAACTGGAGTGGAATTTGGTGAAGCTTGTTATACAAACACCCTGTGAAACAGCCCTTCCACTCCTGGGTCTCTATCCAGGAGAAATGAGTGCTGTTTCTGTCCGAAGAATGTTCATGGTAGCTTTATTCATAGTAGCCATAAAAACAGAAAAAACCTCCATGTCTGCCCACAGTAGAGCAGATAAATTTTAGTTCATTCATACAGTGGAAAACTATTCAGCAGTGAAAAATCAAATGCCTGCTGTAGGCGGCAACACAGGTGGCTCTCACAGATACCATGTTGAGTGAGGAGCCAAACTCAAGAAAACACACCATTTATGTCAAGTTCAGAAACAGGCAGAATGAAAGAATCGAGATGATGGAAGTAAGAATAGTGGTTATTTGGGGAGAACAGGGAGCTGTCAAGTGAAAGTGGGGGACCCACAAAGCCTGCACTTTTGATTTCTGTCTGAATCTGTTCCAGGACACAACCTCAGCTTTAGTTTCTCTCCAAAGTCCTCCTCCATTTCCCAAAACAATTGACTCGGTGCAGGCGGAGTTCCCTGGGCCCCATAGATGAGAGTGGTTGCCTCCTCTGGGCTCCTGGAGGACCAGGAACTTTCCCTTGGGACCACTTACCACTCCCTTCTTACGTAGCAGTTTGGTCTCTGTCTTGCTCCTGGCCCGGATGCCTCATGGCAAGAAACAAGAGTGATTTAGCTCCGTATTCATTCCATATACATTGTAGGCCTCAGTGAATATGTGTGAAATCAATGAAAGATACCCATTTGTTGGGCCTCAGAGACTTGGGAGTTCTGTGATTCTGTTCTACTTTCCCAGCCTGCTCTGATCTCCCTGTTTGGGGCCCCAGAGAAGTCTGTTGTTGTTTGTCATACTTCTGACTTTTAAAGTAATTGGTTGGTTGGTTGGTTTTTTTGCAGTTTGTTTGGTTTTCCTTTGAGACAGAATCTCGCTCTGTCGCCCAGGCTGGAGTGCAGTGGTGCAATCTCGGCTCACTGCAACGTCTGCCTCCTGGGTTCAGGCAGTTTTTGTGTCTCAGCCTCTTAAGTTGCTGGGATTACAGGTGTGCACCACCATGCTTGGCTAATTTTTGTACTTTCAGTAGAGACGGGGGTTTTGCCATGTTGTCTAGGCTGGTCTTGAACTCCTGGCCTCAAGTGGTCTGCCCACCTTGGCCTCCCAAAGTGCTAGGATTGCAGGCATGAGCCACCGCGCCTGGCCTTGATTTTACTTTTTTTTTTTTTTTTTTTTGAGACGGAGTTTCACTCTTGTTGCCCAGGTTGGAATGCAATGACGCAATCTTGGCTCACCACAACCTCCACCTCCCAGGTTCCAGCAATTCTCCTGCCTCAGTCTCCCAAGTAGCTAGGATCACAGGCGTGCACCACCACACCCTACTAATTTTGTATTTTTAGTAGAGACAGGGTTTTTCCATGTTGGCCAGGCTGGTCTCAAACTCCCGACCTCAGATGATCCACCCACCTTGGGCTCCCAAAGTGCTGGGATTACAGATGTGAGCCACCATGCCAGGCCTGATTTTACTTTTAATATACACATAATTATACATATTTATGGGGGTATAGTAGTGTTTTGATAATGTGTGCAAATGTGTAATGATCAAATTAGGATAATTAGCATATCTGTCACCTTAAATGTTTACCATTTCTTTGTAATGAGAACATTCAAAATCTTCTCTTATAGCTGTTTTGAAATATGCAAAATATTATTGTTAACCATGGTCACCTTCCTGTGCATTGAGCGGAGATTTCTCATTCCTGTGTATGTCCTGGATTCTTGAGACTCCTCCCACCTTGGGTTTGGTGTATCCATGTCTGTGTATACCCTCTTGCTCAAGAGCCCTGTGCCCACCTGTTGCCCCAGTACGCTCCCTTTCCCTGTCTCCTTTTCGCTTTCCAGCACCCTGCAGAGTGAAGTCAAGCCCATCCTAGAGAAGCTGACCCAGGACCAGGATGTGGACGTCAAATACTTTGCCCAGGAGGCTCTGACTGGTAAGACCTAGAAAGCAGGGAGCCCTAGCAGGAGGGTGGACTTTTGAGGACAGGTGCTAGGCTGTCCTTTGAGAACAAGGTCGCAGCTTCTGGGAGGGGGAGGTACCATGGCATTGTGGGCAGAGAGAGGGCTGTGGTTCTGATTCTTGCCTGTTCCTGTTTTCCTAGTTCTGTCTCTCGCCTGATGCTGGAAGAGGAGCAAACACTGGCCTCTAGTGTCCACCTCCAACCCCCACAAGTCCCTCTTTGGAGAGACACTGGGGGGCCTTTGGCTGTCACTCCCTGTGCATGGTCTGACCCCAGGCCCCTTCCCCCAGTACGGTTCCCCCTCTCCCCAGCCTGGGAAGATGTCTCACTGTCCACTTCCCAGTGGGCTGGGGGAGCACGGGGTTGGACAGGACAGCGACCCTGGGAGAAAGGGGCTACTCCGCCCACGTCGGGGAGAGATGTGAGCATCCCGGGTCACTGGATCCTGCTGCTGTAATGGGAACCCCTCCCCCATTTACTTCTCCACCTCCCGTCCTTCCCCTCATTGGTTTTTTTTTTGTGTGTCAACTGTGCCATTTTTATTTTATTCCTTTTATTTTCCCCCTTTTCACAGAGAAATAAAGGTCTAGAAGTAGTCAGTCCTCTGGCCTTAGTCATCAGCATGGAGGAGGGGACACCACCCCAGAGTCATAACATCTGCCCTTTTCTCTGGAGAAGATCTTGTTACAGGACCCATTATACCCCTATGTCCCGAGAGAATTCTCTGGGGATCCCCCCAGGAGTGCTGCTGGCCTGTGGAGCAGAGGGTCCACGAGGTGCTCTGGCTGCTGTCCTGTAGTGCAGTTCAGTTTCATAGATGTTGGCCGAGTATTTTGGGGGTTAAGAGCGGGTGCCTTGGAACCAGACTACCTGGGTCCAAATTTTGGCTCCTTCAGTTAATAGACGTGTGACTAGGAGTAGCTTGTTAAGTCTTTATGAGCTCAGTTTTGTATTGTGTAAAATGAGAGTGACATTAGTACCTAGATTGCAGGGTGGGTGGCCAGGACCAAGTGAATTAGTACCTGGTAAGTGTGTAACAGTTTCAACATGAGAAGTACACAACATGGGAAGCAGAGTTAGCTGTACATTGCCAGAGAACCCCCTGTGGGCCATTTCCTGTGTTCTTGAAGAAGACTTGGGCTCTGACCCTGTCCCCAGGAGGTCTATCAGGATTGTACTAGAGAGAGAACTATGGCAAGATAGACCAGTTGTCTCTCAGTATCTATTCTCCCCTTCCTAATATAGAAGCTCTGATTTTTAGCTGGGCACATGACTATATGCATTCCAGGTATTTTCCTAGTGTCTCTTGAGATTAGGTGTGGTACTGTGACCAAATTCTAGTCAAAAAGATGTTGAACAAAAGTGGTATGTGCAGCTTCTAGGAAGTGTTCTTAAGGGTGAAGGCATGATCCCCCACCTTTCCTCCTTCCTGCACTCTGGAATGTGGACCAGATGGCTAGAGTAGAAGCTGCCACCTTGGGCCAGAAAATGATCTTAGGAGTGAAGGTCAAGGAAGACAGGACAAGATGGAAGGAGCCTGGCTCCCTGAGGCTGTGAAGAGCCACGCCAGTATTGTCACCTGGGAGAATTCAACTGGTTAAGTGCCTGTTCATTTGGGGTTTCATCACTTGAAGGTGACCCGAATTCTAACTGATGCAGGGAGGGGCCTGGAGCACCCTGGAGAAAGGAACAAGGGACGTAAGGCTGGTGATGTCTGCATGGAAGGGTTTCGCAGAGGACGTGGTGCTTGAGCACATTTTGGCACAGGTGGTGGAAGGGAAATGTGGCTTTGAGTGACAAGGTGATTTCACCAGCTTAGCCCTCATATTACCACATCCCTACTCTGTTAGACTTTATTGTGCCCTAGGAGATGAGGCTGAAGGAGACCAAAAAGCATCTTTAGGAATTACCATTTTTGCCCTGGGCAATAAACTCTTTCCTAGTTGAGAACCACTGCTCTAGAAATGCGAACACACATGTAACTAAGCATGAAAGTCTGACATTAAATCTTGGCTTTCTCTGTGGTTAACGCTGCTGGTCCATTGCAACAAGAGTGCAGTGGACCAGCAGCCTACGCATTCTCAGGAGCTTGTTAGAAATGTAGAACCTCTCGCCCCTTGCCTGGACCTGCTCATTCAGAGCCTTCATTTTAACAAGATGCCCAGGTTCATCTGCACACTGAAGTTTGAGAAGTCGTGCCTTAAACACTTTAACCCAGTTTTTCTCTCTTGAGAGTGAGGTTAATGCTGCCTGGATCTAGGGCTGAGGATGCGCTATGGCTCAGAGGTGGGGTCTAGAATTGGGCACGCATATGTAGACAAGGCTCAGGGATGTCTTGGGGCTGCAAGATTGGGCGACTGATGGAATGGGATCATTACAGGAGGTGGAGGTGCAACGGATACCCTGGATGGGCTGGGTAATGAGGTGATATTCAGCGACCACAGGAGTGAGTATGAGAGACAAGGGTGAAGGACAGCCTGAGTTGTTGAACTTCAGCAGAGTCCTGAGTTAACCAGGAGTTGCCTGGTGTCTTGGGTCACGTGCTCTAGAAGCAGAGCACAAGTGGAGACTCGTTCAAGTGTCTTACTTAGTGCTCTCAGGCAAAGGAGGCTGAGGTTAACTCAACTTCTGTGAACTTTGAGTTGGGAGAACCCAATCAGGTGATGAATGTGGTGGTGGTAGGAGCAGTTCCTAATCTCCCAGGCTGCAGGCTTTGTTTGCTTCATACACCTGGCCCTCTCTGTAGTAGCTGAAGTTGGCCCCTCGAAGCCTTTGATGCTGGAGCTGGGTCAGGGTGGAGAGACTGCCTGGAGCCAGGACGCACAGCACTGGCCTGTTTCTCCCCCTCTCTAGGCCTAAATCCCAGCAGTTACGTTGGCTGTCTCTAATGGTTCCTTCCACAGCACTGTTCTCCAGAGCCCACACACAAATTTTGTCTCCTTTTGTAATGACTGCACCACTTTGGCTGTTTTCGCCAACAATCTCTTCACTGACCCCTTCCTTCCACTGCTTTGACCCAGACATCTGGATGCGGATGAGGTTGCTGAGTCATTTGGTTTCTTTGGCTAACGCATAGGGGCACGAGGAGAGCTCTAGAATCACTGTGCCCTTGACTCAAGGTGCAGAATCTGCCTGTGGTGCTTGAGCTGTGGTTGTCACTGGAGGAAAATTAACCATGGCTACCCTGGGCAGGTGAGGATCACGAGGTGGTGCCTCAGACCCTAGAAGCGAACTGCAGGGAATGGACAAGATCCTGCATATGGCCATCAGGACTGGAGGGAAGGAGGACACCAGGTTCATCTACCTAAGCCGGTGGCATCAGGCATAAATAAAAAAAAAAATAGGGCGGAAGCGGTGGCTCATGCCTGTAATCCCAACAGTTTGGGAAGCCGAGGTGGGTGGATCACCTGAGGTCAGGAGTTTGAGACCAGCCTGACCAATGTGGTGAAACCTCGTCTCTACTAAAAATATGAAAAAATTAACTGGGCATGCTGGAGGGCGCCTGTAATCCCAGCTACTCAGGAGGCTAAGGCAGGAAGATTGCTTGAATCTGGGAAACAGGGGTTGCAGTGAGCCAAGATCACGCCACTGTACTCGAGCCTGGGCAACAGAACGAGACTCCATCTGAAAAAAAAATCAGGAACTTGTAAAAAAGAGAAAATCCACTGAAGATTCAGTGCCAGGTCCTGACTCCAGCAGGCCTTACCATACAGAGCTGCAAGGTGATGTGGGGTTACAGGCTTCATAGGGCTGGATTTTTCCCAGTCAGCCTCCAGGAAGGATAAGAGACTGGTAGCTTCACATGTCACAAAACGAAACTGGAAGTTTGGATTGGCTAATTGGGTCCTTCCCAGACTGGAGGAATGAAGGAAAACCTGAGACCCTAAGTCTTCCTGGGGAATCACTGCGCTCCGTCCCCAAGCACATGCCTTTCCTGAAAAAAAGCTGAGGAGCGGGAATCTGCTTCCCACCCACCGCTTAGCTTGGGCTTAGCCTTAGCCGCTGCTCTGCTGTTCCTCTACCCTGTGCATACTCCAGAGCAGTAGAGAATGGACCTTCCCTGATGCTGAAAATAAGAATGAGGGGCCTAGAATTCCAATCTCACTCTTTCTCTAGGCAAATGGCAGATGATTATTACTCATGAATACTCTGGCTTTCTATGTTGAGTTAATTCAGGGCTGTATTCTTTGCTGTTACTCCTCTTTTTTCATATATTTTATACAGATACTAAGCTTTATTTTATTTTTTGTTCATTTCTTGAGATGGAGTCTCACTGTATTGCCTAGGCTGGAGTGCAGTGGTGCGATCTTGGCTCACTGCAACCTCTGCCTCCTGGGTTGAAGTGATTCTCCTGTCTCAGCCTCCTGAGTAGCTACTGTTACTCTTAAACATGGGTAAAAATACTTTTTTTCTTTTCTTCTTTGGGAAACTAAAAGATTTGCGATTCTCAATTGATTATTCAGCCTGTGGTCGTGTACTGAGGAAGGGTACAGAATCTTACCTCCAGGAGCGTGGAGCTTTAGATAGGATCCTCCTTCCTGAGGCTGGAGCTTACTCTCCTATGTGATCAGAGGCTTTCACAACATCCACATTGGTCTCCAGATCAGCCCTATCACGGAGGCCTGGTCCAGAGACCTTCACATGAAAAGGGAAATGATAAACAAGTGTCCGGGAGACACCATTCTGCAGGGATCCTGCCCTCTTAATAATCTCTATGGCCACAGAAATAACCTTGGGGTTTTCCCGGGAGCTAGCCACCACACACAGATTATGAACTTTGGACAAAAGCCCCAGCCCTAGCCCTCATTCTGATACCTGTCATGCCCAAACTGCTCTCAAAGGCTCATGTGCTGTTACCTCCTGAGAGTCTGCGTATCAGTATGTTTCTGTGCTAATGTAATTGATTGAGTAATGTGGGAAGAGCAACAGGCAAAGGGCAGGATACTGGAAGCTGGGTATAGGGTCCCCTTACCTGATTTATGTTGCTGATTTTCCCAAATACTGATAAAAATGAATTGATCTCTAGGTGGAAAACAGGAGGAACCCCAGACTACATAGTAAGTAGAAAATGAAATAAATGCTGCATGTCATTTAGATAGAGCTCAGCCCTGAGTCACGAAGTCTTTTCAGAACAAAGGAATAGTTCTCCCTTATCTGAAGCTCACTGTGGCCTTGGGAAGCCTGGCATTGAGAATTCTCTGCGTGTTCACTCTTGAGTTCTGTGCCTGCATCACACAGCAATAGAACAGTCCCAAAGGATTCTTAAGGGTGGGGAAAGGCACTAAGAGAAGATGAACCTGTAGCCCCTGTTATACCATCTGGTCTAATTGATACTGCTGTTATCAAGCAAAAGGAGCTGTCTCCCTGAGGCACTGGAAGCCAATATTTTGACACCAGGTTTTTGAGAAAGAAAAACTTTTTATTGTAAGTTGACTCACAAGATGAGTCGAGCTCAAGTCTGTCTCCCTGTGCTGGCTTTAAGGCAGTAATTTAATTATAAAACGTTTAGGAGGTGGATTCTGGGGTTCTCAGATGAGGGTAGAAGGAAAGGAGAGGTCTGGAAAGTCTTCTGGCATGCACGGTTCTCTTCATGTCTCCTCATGCGTCATGTGCAAATTTAGGGGGAGTTAGTTTGAAACATGGTGTGGAAATTGAGGCTGTGACATCAGCACGCTTGGTCTGTGCCAACTCCATTTGGCCATATTGGTTTCAACCAATTTTGACCAGTTTTGTAGAGGGCGTTTGAGCATTTCAGAAAGTTATTTCTTACCTGCTGTTCTGTAAATTAATAATTTTTGTTAGTTACTGGTTTAACTCTTTGGGCATGGGTTCACTACCACCTGTCCTAACCCCACTTGATGTTTCCTGGGCCTCCTTACTTTCCACCTTCATTCTCTCATCATACTTTATGTACACTAATAACTCCCCTGCTATTCTGTATGTAGCCCAAACATCAGCTGTACTGCCTCATCTCTTAGATATCTGTGTATACTCTGACCTAATCAAAATCAGAAATTGTGGAGCTGAAAAAGCCAGTGTGTGAAATGAGAAAAGCAATAGAGAGGGGTAACAACAGTACTGAACAAGGAGAAGAAAGAATTTGTGAACTTGAAGATAGGTGTTGGGGACCAGTCTCTGTAGGGTCCAGTCCCACAAGGTCGGTGGGTTTTTCTCCCCGTGTGTGGAGACGAGAGATTGTAGGAATAGAAACACAAGACAGATGAAAGAAAAGACAGCTGGGCCCGGGGGACCACTACCACCAAGATGCGGAGACCAGTAGTGGCCCCGAATGCCAGGCTGCGCTGATATTTATTGGATACAAGACAAGGGGGCAGGGTAAGGAGTGTGAGCCACCTCCAATGACAGGATGTGGGTCACGTGTCCACTGAACAGGGGGCCCTTCCCTGCCCGGCAGCCGAGGCAGAGAGGGGAGAGAGAGAGACAGCTTACGCCATTATTTCTGCATATCAGAGACTTTTAGTACTTTCACTAATTTGCTACTATTATCTAAAAGGCAGAGCCAGGTGTACAGGATGGAGCATGAAGGCGGACTAGGAGCGTGACCACTGAAGCACAGCATCACAGGGAGATGATTAGGCCTCCGGATAACTGCGGGAGGGCCTGACATCAGTCAGGCCCTCCACAAGAGGTGGAGGAATAGAGTCTTCTCTGAACTCCTCTGGGGAAAGGGAGACTTTCCCTAGCGGGTGTTTTTCCTTGACACTGACGCTACCGCTAGACCACGGTTCGCTTGGCAACAGGCATCTTCCCAGACGCTGGCATTACTGCTAGACCAGGAAGCCCTCTAGTGGCCCTGTCTGGGCATAACAGAAGGCTCACACTTGTCTTCCAGTCACTTCTCACTATGTCCCCTCAGCTCCTATCTCTGGCCTGGTTGTTCCTAGGTTATAAGTGTAGAGCAAGGATTATTATAAGATTGAAATAAAGAGTAATTGCTACAAACTAATGATTAATGATATTCATATATAATCACATCTATTATCTATATCTAGTATAACTATTCTTATTTTATATATTTTATTATACTGGAACAGCTCGTGCCCTTGATCTCTTGCCTCGGCACCTGGGTGGCTTGCCGCCCACAGTCTTAACACTACCTGTAGGGTATCCGAAGTCCAGTGGCGACAAAGGATTGAGAAGAGACAGGTTAAAGGTGGGAGCCAGGGGTCCAGTTACAAATTGGAGGTTGCAAAATGCCCCAAGCTGTGGTCTCCACACTATTTATTGAGTACAATCACTTAGATCTAAGAAGCAGATGTTCAGGGCGAAACAGTGAAAGGGAGGCAGTATGTCATAGGCATAATCTGTAGCAATAGCAGTTTAAATGAATCTTCTTTGTGCTCAAACAGCGTATCTTTAACTTATTGGAGAGTAGCTAGTGGGAGTGGGCTTAACCGGGAGCCTGCACATCTGTTAACATTCCAGTGTTTCAAAGGAGTGTCTTTCGCCTTGAACACTGTTTACATATAAGAGAGCAGGTCTCACTCTGAGCATGGGAACATGATGGCAATTAGAAGGCTTTCCTCCTCAGAGGCCTCTCGTGGCTTTCCACAACTTATTGTCCCATATTTTTATGGCCAGTTTATGCAGGCACCCCACAAGCTCTTTTCCCACAAGCCCTTTTCCCAACTATAGGTTGTATGAAAATACATGCTCACAGGAGAAGAAAGAAAAAAGAATATTAAAAAAAAAAGTCATCAGGATGTATGGGATAGCACCAAAAAAGCCAAGTTCGCATTACAGGATTTCAAGAAGGAAAGGAGAAAGAAGGCTATAGAAAGCTTATTTAAAGATAGTAGCCAAAAATGTCTCTATCTGGGAAAAGATATAAATGTCTAGGTGTAGGAAGCTTAAAGGTCTCCAATTAGTTTTAATTCAAATAAAACTTCAGCAAGACATGTTATAATAAACAGTCAGAAGTCAAAGACAAAAGAAGAGGGTTTTTGGTTTTCATTGTTTTGAGCCAGAGTCTTGCTCTGTTACCCAGACTGGAGTGCAGTGGCGCCATCTTGGCTCATTGCAACCTTCGCCTCCCAGGTTCAAGCGATTTTTGTGCCAGAGTCTCCCAAGCAGCTGGGACTACAGGTGTGCACCACCGCACGTGGCTAATTTTTGTATTTTTTTTAGTAGAAATAGGGTTTCACCATGTTGGCCAGGCTGGTCTCAAACTCCTGGCCTCAAGTGATCTGCCTTGGCCTCCCAAAGTGCTGGGATTACAGGCATAAACCACCGCACCCGGCCCAAAGACAGAGTTTTAAGAGCACAAAAGGGGGGGGGAAGAACCAGCATTGGGAGCGGAGGGGAAGAGGAGGAGAGACATCGGTAACACGGTGAAACGTCTACTAAAAAAAAAAATTAGCCGGGCGCGGGGGGGCGTAGCCCACCGGAGGCTGAGGCAGGAATGGCGTGAACCGGGAGCGGAGCTTGCAGTGAGCTGAGATCCGGCCACTGCACCCAGCCGGCGACAGACGAGACCGTCTCAAAAAAAAAAAAAAAAAAAAAAAAAAAAAAGCACAAAAGAAGACTCATCATTTGCAATGGAACTCTATAAAGCTATCAACAGTCTTCTCAGTAAAAACTCTATGGTCCAGAAGGACAGTAGGATGATATTATTAAATCACAGAAGAAAAAAACCTGGCAGCTAGGAATAATTTACCTAGCAAACTGTCCTTTAGAAACGAAGGACAGTATAAGGACTTTCCCATACAAACAAAATGTAAGCGAGTTTATCACTTCTAGGCCTGTCTTATGAAAATGATAAAGGGAGTTTTTTAAATAAAAGAACATTAAGTAGTAACATGGAAACATGTAAAAGGATAGAACTCTGATAAAAGTAAATGCAGAATCAAATTTCAGGATACTCTCACACTAATGGAATTATGATAATCACATATATTGAGTATAATGTCTGAAAGGCAAAACTTAATAGGTATATTAACTTGTTTAGGGACATACAATATAAAAGAGATATAAGTCTAATATCAAAAATATAAAATGTGAGTGGAAGAATAAAAGTGTAGTGTTTTCTATGTGATAGAAGTTAACTTTTTATCAGGTTAAAATAGCCTTTTATAAGTAAAATGTGTTATATGTAAGATGCTAATCATGAAGCAAAAAAACCTATAGTAAGTATTCAAAAGATAAAAAGTAAGAAATATAAACATACCAGTTCATAAATGCATCTAATAGCAAAGACAGCAAGTGAGTAGGAAGAAACAAAATCTACAAAACAATGAGGAAATAATAACATGAAAAGAGTAAGTTCTTAACTATCAATAATTACCTTGAATGAGGCCGGGTGTGGTGGCCCAAGCCTGTAGTTCCGGCACTTTGGGAGGCTGAGGCGGGTGGATCACCTGAGGTCAGGAGTTCAAGACGAGCCTGGCCAACATGGTGAAACCCTGTCTCTACTAAAAATACAAAAAATTAGCTGGGTGTGGTGGCGGGCACTTGTAATCCCAGATACTTGGGAAGCTGAGGCAGAAGAATCGCTTGAACCCAGGAGGCGGAGGTTGCTGTGAGCCGAAATTGCACCATTGCATTCCAGCCTGCGCAACAAGAGCAAAACTCCATCTAAAAAAAAAATTAAAAATAAATAAATAATTGCCTTGAATGTAAATGGATTAAGTTATTTTATCTAAGGACACAATGTCATAATAATTTTTCAAAAGACCCAGGTATATGCTGTGAGAAGAGACTAACTTCACCATTAAGAACACAAAGTGAAGAACTAGAAAAAGATATTCTATGCAAATAGAAACCAAAACAGAGTAGAGGTTGAATAAACATTAAGGAAAAACTGTAACAGTACAAAAATTGTCATTATACAATGATAAAGAGGTGAATTCATCAAGAGGATATAAGAATTGTAGATATGCCTACCATCAGAGAACCTTAATAGATAAAGCAATTATTAATAAATCTGAAGGGAGAGACAGACTGCAATGCAATACTAGTAGAGAACTTAAATATCTCACTTTCCACAGTGGACAGATCATTCAGACAGAAAATCAGTAAGGAATTGTTGGATGCACACTGTTCTTTAGACCAAATGTACCCTGATAGACATACACAGAACATTCCATGAAATAGTACCAGAGTATCATTCTTCTCAAGCGCATATGGAATATTCGCCAGGACAGATTGTATAGATAAGACAAAGCAAATCTTATCAAATTTAATTGAAGTTATATCAAGTATTCCTACTACAATGGGACAAAATTAGAAATCAATAATGAGGAATTTTAAGATGGAGGGATATGGGGAAAATTAAACCACATGCTCCCGAACAAACAATGGGTCAAAAAAGAAATCACAAGAGAGATTTTAAAATATCTTGAAACAAACCAGTAGAAACACAACATACTAAATCTTATGGAATGCAGCAAGAGCAGTTCTAAGGGGGAAGATTAGAGCAATAAATACCTACAACAACAACAAAAAAGGTCTCTCAAGTAAACAACCTAACATTACACCCTAAGGAACTAGAAAAAGATAAGCAAACTAAACTTGAAGTCAGTAAAAAGAAGGAAGTAATAAAGATCCAATGTAATCAGAAAAAAATGGAAGAGCAGAAAAACACAGTTGAAAAGATCTTTGAAACTAAGATTGCTTTTCTGAAAAGATAAATCACAAACCTTTAGCCAAACCAAGAACAAAGAAGATTCAAATAATATCAGACATGGAAGATGAGACATTACACTTAATATCGCAGGAATACAAAAGGTCATAAGACAACATTATCTACAATTATATGCCAACAAGTTAGACAATCTAAAAGAAGTGGAGAAATTTCTAGAAAGAGAAAACCTGCTAAGACTGAATCATGAGGAAATAGAAAATATCTTTCATTAATGCAGCATCAAGGAAAACAAATTAGGCCAGGTACAGTGGCTCACCCTTGTAATCCCACCACTTTGGGAGGCTGAGGCAGGCAGATCACTTGAGGTGAGGATTTTGAGGCCAACCTGGCCAACATGGCAAAATGATGTCTTTACTAAAAATACAAAAATTAGCTTGTTTGGTGGTGCATGCTTGTAATCCCAGCTACTTGGGAGGCTGAGGCACAATAATCACTTTAACCCGGGAGGTGGAGGTTGCAGTGAGCCTAGATCGCACCACTGCACATCAGCCTGGGCAACAGAGGGAGACTCTTGTCTCAAAATAAAAATAAAAAATAAAAAAAATTAAAAAAAAACCCGAAAACAAATTAAAAATCAGAACTGACCAAGAATGAGAAACGAGATTCAATCAGTAATAAAACACTCGCATCCAAGTAAAGTCCAGGATGTGATGTGTTCTTTGAAGCATTCTACCAAACATTAAGAAGAGAGTAATGCCAATCATTCTCAAATTCCTTCAAAATATTTAAGAGTAGAAAACATTTCCATTCTCTTTTTTGAGGCCAGCATTACCCCGATGCCAAAGCTACACACAAGAATACTACAAGGAAAAGCTACAGGTCAACATTCCCTATGAACTTAGATACAAAAATCCTCAACAGAATACTAGCAAAGAAAAAAAAAATTGGCCTGCATGGTGGCTTCACACCGGTAATCCCAGCATTTTGGGAGGCTGAAGCGGGTGGATCGCCTGAGGTCAGGAGTTTGAGACCAGCCTGGCCAACATGGTGAAACTTTGTCTCTACTAAAAATACAAATATTAGCTGGGCGTGCTGGCAGGTGCCTGTAATCCCAGCTACTCAGGTGGCTGAGGCAGTGAGCCCAGATAGTGCCATTGCACTCCAGCCTGGGTGGCAGAATGAGACTCCATCTCAAAAAAAAAAAAAAAAAAAAAAGAAAGCAACATATTAAAGGATTATTTACCATAATGAAGTGGTAGGTTATCCCTGGAAGAAGGATGGGTCAACCTATGCAAATCTGTGATTGTGATGCTCCACATACGAAGAATGAAGACATAATCCATATGAGCATCTCAACAGATTCACTGAATGCATTGGACAAAATTCAATATTCTTCCATGATGAAAACTCTCATCAAATTAGGTATAGAAGGAATGTACCTCAGCACAACAAAGGCCACATATGACCAACCCACAGCTAATACTATGCCCAAAGATAAACAGTTGAAAGCCTTGCCTCTATGATTAGGAACAGGACAAGGATGCACACTCTCACCACTTTTATTTAACATAGTGGTGAATGTCCTTGCCAGAGTAATTAGGCAAGAAAAAGTAATATAAAACATTCAAATAAAAAAGAAGTGAAGAAGTGAAATTATTCTTGTTTGTTAATGACCTTATACACAGAAAACTCAAGACTAAACAAAAATACTGTTAGAAATAATAAGTGATAATAAATGAACTTTAAAGTTTGAAGATACGAAGTTGGTGAGCAAAATTTGTTGCATTTTTATATACTAACAATGAACTCTCTGTAAAGAAATCAAAACAATCTTATTTTCAATAACCAGAAAAACAATAAAATACATAGAAGTGATTTTATCTAAAGAGGTGTATAATCTGTAAGCAGAAAATTATAAAATGTTGATAAAACAATGAAGAATATACGAAAAAATGAAAAGATATGTCATGGTTGGGAATTGGAAGAATTAACAATGTTAAAATGTCCATCTAACCAAAGCATACTAATCAATCTGCAGATTCAGTGCAATCCCTATCAAAATTCTAATGATACTATTCACAGTAATAGAAAAAAAATCTTGAAATTCATATGAAACCCCAAACCCCCCAAATTTTCCAAAGTAATCTTGGGTAAAGGAAACAAAGCTGTAACACTACCTGATTTCAACATCTACTCCAAAGCTATACTAATCAAAACACATGACACTGGCATAAAAACATACACATGGACCAATGGGATGGAATAGAGAGCTCAGCAATAAACCCTTGCATTCATGGTCAATTGACTTCAACAACAGTGCCAAGAACACATGATGTGGAAGGATGCATTTGGATATCTACATAGAAAAACAATAACATTGTTTTTTTAATCCGATTTTTATTCAAATATTGCCTCAAAATGCATTAACAACTTAAACTATAAGGTCTGAAACTATAAAACTACTAGAATTCATAGGAGGAGAGTTACATCATATTTGTCCAAGCATTGATTTTTGGATTTGACCCTAAAAGTACAGTCAATGAAAGCAAAAATAGACAACTGGGATTATATAAAAAACTGTACAGCAAAAAGTTGGGGTGGTAGGCCGGGCGCGGTGGCTCAAGCCTGTAATCCCAGCACTTTGGGAGGCCGAGGCGGGCGGATCACAAGGTCAGGAGATCGAGACCACAGTGAAACCCCGTCTCTACTAAAAATACAAAAAATTAGCCGGGCGCGGTGGCGGGCGCCTGTAGTCCTAGCTACTCAGGAGGCTGAGGCAGGAGAATGGCGTGAACCCAGAAGGCGGAGCTTGCAGTGAGCCGAGATCGCGCCACTGCACTCCAGCCTGGGCAACAGCGTGAGACTCCGTCTCAAAAAAAAAAAAAAAAAAAAAAAGTTGGGGTGGTGGTTGTGAAGAAATTTTGATTAGTACAAAGATATGGTTAGAATGAATAAGTTCTATTGTTAGCACAGTAGAGATTATTGTTAACAATACATTTCAAAATAGCTAAGAGACGATCTAAAATGTTCTCAACGCAAATAAATGATAAGCATTTAATATGATGGGTATCCTAAATTCCTTGATTAATTCATTTTTTGCTTCAATACATGGGATCTTGCTCTGCCACCCAGTGGCGATCATGGCTCACTGCAGCCTTGAACTCGGCCCAAGGGATTTTTCCACCTCAGCCTCCACAAGTGCTCAGATTACAGGCAGGCATAAGCCACCTTGCTCAGGCAAAAGGGCCAAAGGGTGGATCACCGAAAGGTGTTATGTGAGAAATTTTGTGCTGCTACCCAAATCCAAATATCGAAGTGCCCCAAATCTCCAGTACCTTAGAATGTGACTGTATTTTGAAATAGAAATTGGCCGGGCGCGGTGGTCACGCCTGTAATCCAGCACTTTGGGAGGCCGAGGCGGGCGGATCAAGGTCAGGAGATCGAGACCAGGTGAACCCGTCTCTACTAAAAATGACAAAAAATTGCCGGGCGGGTGGGCGCTGTGTCGCTACTCGGGGCTGAGGCAGAGAATGGCGTGACCCGGGAGCGGAGCTGCAGTGACGAGATCGCGCCACTGACTCCAGTCTGGGCGACAGAGCGAGACTCCGTCTCAAAAAATAAATAAATAAATAAATAAATAGAACATTTGAAGAGCGATTACATTAAAATGAGGGTGTTAGAGTGGGATCCAATCAATCTGACTGATGCTCCTATAGAAAGGGAAAGTATGGACACAGAGAGAGACACCAGAGTGTTGTGCACATAAAGACTTTGAGGACACTTCATAATGGTGACCATCTGCACGCCAAGGAGAAAACAACAAGCCTGCCTTCACCTCAATCTTGAACTTCCAGTCTCCACAACAGTAAGAAAATTAATTTCTGTTGTTTATGCTACCCAGTCAATGGCATTTTGTTATGGCAGCCTGAGTGGATTAATACACAAGGTAAGAATCTGCCTTTTCTTTTTTCTTTTCTTATTTTATTTTATTTTATTTATTTTTTTGAGACAGGCTTTCTCTCTATCGCCCAGGCTGGAGTGCAGTGGCACCATCTCGGCTCACTGCAACCTCTGCCTCCTGGGTTCAAGCGATTGTCCTGCCTCAGCCTCCCCAGTAGCTGGAATTACAGGGACCCGCCACCACGCCTGGCTATTTTTTTTTTTTTTTTTTTTTTTTTTTTTTTTTTTTTTGAGACGGAGTCTCGCTCTGTCGCCCAGGCTGGAGTGGAGTGGCGCGATCTCCGCTCACTGCAAGCTCCGCCTCCCGGGTTCACGCCATTCTCCTGCCTCAGCCTCCCGAGTAGCTGGGACTACAGGCGCCTGCCACCTCGCCCGGCTAGTTTTTTGTATTTTTTAGTAGAGACGGGGTTTCACCGTGTTAGCCAGGATGGTCTCGATCTTCTGACCTCGTGATCCGCCCGTCTCGGCCTCCCAAAGTGCTGGGATTACAGGCTTGAGCCACCGCGCCTGGCCGGCTATTTGTATTTTTAATAGAGACGGAGTTTTGCCATGTTGCCCAGGGTGGTCTCAAACCCCTGACCTCAAGTGATCCACACGCCTCAGCCTCCCGAAGTCCTGGGATTACAGGTGTGAGCCACTGCACCCAGCAGAATCTCCCTTTTCAATGCTGATACCTCTATGAGTTTCTCATAATATCTCATTCTCATGAGTTCCAGGTTCCCAGTCTCTGAGGTTCTTACAGCTTGACCCTCTCAGGAGAGGCTTCACAGGGAGGCATAAAGAAAACAGAACCTGGGGATACATCTCCCATTATATTGTTTGCCCATTTGCAGGAATTAAAGGATAACAAAGTCAGCAAGGGGTCTTCTCCATTAGAGGGAAACTATTGAGATGCAGCGTGAAGAGTATTGATTGGTTTTAGAGGCAGAACTTCCTGTTACTGACTTTGGACAAATGGTAACTTTTCTAAGTCTGAATCTTCCAGTGATATAGCATGTTGTTGTCATTCCTCGCAGGGATACTGTGAGTCTCCCAGGGCATTCTGCATGTGAAAGGAGGTGGTAAATATAAATCACTGCACATGTGTGAGGCTTCATATTATAGTCATAGATGTTTTCATCTTCTTCCTGATTTCTGATGCTCACAGAATCTAAAATTACAGGATTTAACCAAAAAGGGCATTTTTCTCAACCTTCTGTAAAATCTCTTTGTTCTTAATTTTCACCACATGAGAAGCAGCCTTCTATCTTCTAGCTCTGACATTATTCAGTGTATGGGTCTTAATTTAGAAAAGTGACCGAGTGATGATACAGAGAGGCCAATGGATTTTTAAAGGAAAGGCAGGGCCCAGCAGGGTACACGGTTTAGGATTGGCCAGATTGAAGCACTTCTGAGGGCCTTGGGGAAAGGGGCTGTTCCTAGTTCTCTAGTACCTGACTTTGTGTTGACTTAGGACAGCAGAATATTGGCTTGGTGTCTGAGAGTTTGACAAGGAGAGGGTTGGGGCATGGGCTCTGGGTGGGTAAATTTTCATAGGAAAGGCTGGATTCAGGAAACCCACTTCTACCTCTAAGAATTTGCTAGCCCCAAGATGGGCAGTCTCTGCCTGGTCAGGGATGACACAGTCACAGCACCAAGAACACAGAAAATAAGGAAATATAATAAATATAATTAGTCCTGTGATGGACAGGTGCCAAACAGACAAATACAAAATCTAAAGAAACATATTTAAAACAGAGTTTGTCACAAAAAGAAAGAGAAATCCTGGGTTTTTTTTTTTTTTTTCCCAAAAACTTCACTTCTAGTCTTTTTTTTTTTTTTTTTTTTTGAGACAAAGTCTCACTCTTGTCCCCCAGGCTGGGGTGCAATGGCGTGACCTTGGCTCACTGCAACCTCCACCTCCCGGATTCAAGCTATTCTCCTGCCTCAGCCTCCCGAGTAGCTGGGATTACAGGCACTTGCCACCATGCCTGGCTAATTTTTTGTATTTTTAGTAGAGACGGGGTTTCACCGTGTTAGCCAGGATGATCTGGATCTCCTGACCTCGTGATCCGCCCGCCTCGGGCTCCCAAAGTGCTGGGATTACAAGCGTGAGCCACCGCGCCAGGCCTGAATTCCTTAATTTTAATTGTGGGAACTTTCCTGGATCCAAACAGCAGACGTTGACCCTCCTAGTGAGATCCCAGGTCACAAACCGTGGAGCGGCTCCAGCCTGACTGGGAAGTGTTGCTTGCAAACTCCGGAAAAGCGAGACACGCCCAGAGATAGGAGGAGGGAAGCGCAGGCCCTGCCCATAAGCATTCAGGCCCCGCCCACCACCTCGCTGGCCCCGCCCAGGCCTGGCCTCTGGGTCCGCGCGCAGTCGCCTGCAGACCCGGAAGTGGATGGCGTGGAGAGATGGCGCAACTGCGGCGCGTGAGTTTTCCTTTGTTTAGATTAAGTGTTCGCTTAGCGGTGCCCTCACGCTTCTGTACCCGGGATGTGGGGGGCGGTACAGACCTTGAAATCCCCGCACCGCTCCCTCCACCCCGAGTAAATTCACGCGTCCCGTCAGAATACCGGGGTTCGCTTCCCTGTGTGTTAAAATCGCCCTAGGGTTGGTTCTGTCCCCGGTCGTTCTGCCGTAGGGCCGCGTAGGCAGCTGCTTTCGCGTCGTTTTCCTGCTTAAAACCCTTCAGTGACCCCTCCGCCAGCCCCGCGCCACGTAAAGTCCCCACCTGCGAGCCCGATCCACGCCCTCCGGGTCCCGAGCCTCGCCCTTGTCGGCCCCTGGGGGCGCAGCGCCACAGCCGCAAATCGGGAGGGGCCGCGTCCTCTGCTTGTCCTGGAGATTCTGCAGACCCCACCCCTGATCTGCCTTCCGCCCTAGACCTCCTTGGGCTGGACCCTTCTGTCCCCAGGCCTCTTCGCAGTCACGGCTTCTCCTGACCCTGTGTTGGGGGAGGTGGCCGGGACCTATCATAGGGCACTCAGTGTTCTTCTGTCCCAAATTCCTCCCGTTGGAAACTGTGCTCTTGAGGAGGTGGGCATTTTATTCCAGTCCCCTCCCTGTGAATGTGTAGTGAAAGAGATGGAGAGCAAGGTAGAGGAAACAGAAAAATTTAGAGAGAAAATAATGAAGGAGATCCATATCAAGACGGCAACGTGGAGGGACGGTGAGAGATTGGCAAAGTGAAAGAAGCACCCCAGGAAGTAGCAGGGAGAGAAAAGCAACTGGAGAAATGTAGAGAAAAGTTGTATTTCTAGACAGATGAAGGACTGCAAGGTAGGGAGAGGGGCAGCAAAGCGGGAGGCTCTTCAGACAAAGTTGGGGAGAGAAGGAGGGATTTGGAGCCAGGGCAGACTGAGCAGCGTGGCGCAGGGACAGCAAGAGGTGGCAGCCGGTGACAAGGAGAGCAGAGGGAGAACCACCCCAGGGATCTGGGGTTGCCAGACAGTGGGGAGAAGGGGGCATAACAGAGAAGAGGGAATTTAACAGGAGGAGCACAGATGGGAGAAGAAAGAGGCAGAAATATATGGAGATTGGAGACAATCAAAAGATTGGAGAGAAAGAGCAACAAAAGGAAAAAAATTGCAAGATGGAGCAGATCAGGTAGAAAAGAAGGAATAGAGGGAAGAAGGGGAGAAACTGGGAGAGGAGAGGGGCTCAAAATCTGGGCTCACTGCAACCTTAGCCTACTGAGTTCAAGCGATTCTCCTGCCTCAGCCTCCCGAGTAGCTGGGATTACAGGTGCCCGCCACCACACCTGGCTAATTTTGTAGTTTTAATAGAGACAGGGTTTCACCATGTTGGCCTGACTGGTCCTGAGCTCTTGAGACCTCAGGTGATCTGCCCACCTCGGCCTCCCAAAGTGCTGGGATTACAGGTTTGAGCCACCTTGCCCGGCCTCCTCACATTAATTTGGTAGAATGGTTCCCAGAACTCAGAGAAAATTTTACTTAGGTTTACTATTGGTTATGAAGGTTATGACAAAGGATATAGATGGAAGAGCCGTCCTAACAAATCAAAACAGAGGAGTGGGTTTTGGAAACCGTTAATTTTATCCGTATCTGAAGTGAGGGGCAGTCATGTGGGACTGAGTCCTTAACTGGGATCTGATTCTATCTCCAGGTAGATACTATCCAAATTGAGTTAAATTGTAGGTCATCCAGCTGGGAGTGCGCCAGAGAACTGTTCAGCAGGGGAAAAAACACGTGTACATTTCCACCTCAAACAGTAAAGGGAAGAGATCTCCAACCGGCCCACCCACCTGTCTCAGGGCCTGCGATCTCTACTCTGTAGTAACTGGGAATGGTCTGTCCCTCCCCCTGGCTGTTGCTGACCCTGCAATTGTGCACCATGTGCCAGCCCTACTCACAATCTCAGGACAGTGTGGCATCCTTTCTCTGTGGCATCACCAATATTTACTTCAAGGGATTACTTTGGTTAGTGTACCCACGTGGAGGTATTGTCCATTAAAACACACACAGACACGCTGGCTGGGTGCGGTAGCTCATGCCTGTAATCTCAGCACTTTAGGAGGCCAAGGTGGGCAGATCACTTATGACTAGGACTTCCAGACCAGCCTGGCCAACACGGTGAAAGCCCACCTCTACTAAAAATACAAAAATTAGCTGGGCGTGGTGACGCACACCTGTATTCCCGCTACTCAGGAGGCTGAGATAGGAAAATCACTTGAACCCTAGAGGTGGAGGTTGCAATGAGCCGACATTGCACCACTGCACTCCAGCCTGGGTGGCAAGAGTGAGACGGTGTCTCAAAAAAAAAAAAAAAAAAAAAGGCACAGAATGAAGTCTTTATTTCTTGCTACTCCTCCATGATTAAAACAAAAAATATTCTACTAATTACATTTCTCCCTGTAGTTAGCACCCCGCTTCAATGCTCCATTTGAGAACACAGTACACTAAAATCTTGTTTATATACTGTCTCCAGTCTTGCCTCAAGTTCTTGATTTACCCCCTTCCAATTAAACTTTCACCTCCACCATTCCTTTGATCCTTTTTTTTCCAGACTGCACCAGTGACCTCTGTGTTTCGAAGTCCAATTTTGAATTTCCTATCCTCATCTTTTTGAGTTAGCAACATGTTGCACAGCTGATCATTCCCTGTTCTTTTTTCTTAGCTCTAAATTTATTTGATTACTTTGTTTCAGATTTTTGTCTTACCAGTTTCCTCTGCTGGTGTCTCCTGAAGCTGTCTTCTCTGAATGTGGGAGTGTTCCGTGATTTAGGTCTTTTTCATTTTTGTTTTTGTTTTTAAGACAGTCTCACCCTGTCACCCGGACTGGAGTGCCATCGTGCAATCATAGCTTCCTGCAGCCTCGAACTCCTGGCCTCAGGAGGTCCTCCTGCCCCAGCCTCCCAAGTAGCTGGGACTCTAGGTGCACACCACCACACCCGAGTAATTTTTTAATTTTTTAGTACAAACTGGGTTTCCCTATGTTGAATAGGCTTAGATCTCAAAACTCTTCTCATCTCTGTCCACACACACTACCGTTCCTTATCATCTCATCTCATGGCTTTGAACCCCATCTACCTGTCTCCATGTCCCCTGCAGACCTCTGGCCTGAGGTCTAGAAACCTGTGTTCAGTTGTCCCCTCACTTCTGCCTAACAGGCATCTCCACCTCGTATGTGCCACTTTCTGAGCTCCCCCAAATGCATTCCCTTGCAGTCCTGCACATCTCAGATGAGGGTGACCCTGTACTTCCTGGGGCTTAGCTGAACTTCTTGTCATATAGCCAAAATATGTAAGATATTACATTGTAAGTACATTAGGTTTTTTTTTTTTTTTTGAGATGGAGTCTTGCTCTGTCGTCAAGCTGGAGTGCAGTGGCACGATCTTGGCTCAGCGTAACCTCCGCCTCCCAGGTTCAAGCAATTCTCCTGTCTCAGCCTCCCGAGTAGCTGGGACTACAGGCATGCACCACGACGCCTGGCTAATTGTATTTTTAGTAGAGACAAGGTTTCACCATGCTGGCCAGGATGGTCTTGATCTCTTGACTTTGTGATCCGCCCGCCTTGGCCTCCCAAAGTGCTGGGATTACAGGCGTGAGGCACCACGCCCAGCCTGTAAGTACATTAATTTAACATAAATAATTACATATTTACTAAAACAGGTGAGGAAATTTGTTGTTTCCGAAATTCCTTTGAGGTATGGGAGAAAATGTTTGCGGCCTTGTCCCTGTGTGATCTGTGCCCCGGGACCTCTCTGAGCTCACCTCCTGCCTGTGTCCCCCTCGTTCCCTCTGCTGCAGCCACACAGGCCTCTTTCCTGGAGCCAGGGTTGCTCCTGACTCAGGGCTTCCACCTGGGCTGTCCCTCTGCCTGGACATCTCTAGCCTGTCAGCTGCAGGTACAAACACCTTTTCTTCCCCAAGTCTTTGTTCTGATATTACCTCCTTCATGGAGGCTTCTGTGTTCCTCTCCACCCCACGTTTAACACTCCAGCTATACCCTCACCCCCACTGTGGTCCACATTGCCTGCTCTGGATATTTCTTTCTGCTCCACTACCTAAATCCTGGTAACAAGACCCAAGGATAGAGCAGAGCCAGAAGGTGGGGGTGTGCTGGATTTCGCTGTCTGAGTGGAGCTCACCCCGGCTTCACATTGGAGTGCAGATACACGTCTTGTGCCTCCAGTCTCTTACCTGAGATTCCCATTCACATACTCAGGTTGGGCTCAGCATTAATATTTGAAGTTGATTCTACGGTAGTTGCTCCTTATCTTCCAGTGTACTTTCTGAGGTTCCAGTTACTCATGGTCAACCACAGTTTTAGTAGTCCAAGGATATTATATGGAAAGTTCCAGAAATGAAGAATTCATAAGTGTTAAATTTCTCACTCTTCTTAGTAGGATGATGCAGTCTCTCACTGTCCCACTCTGTTTTGTCCAGGACTTGAATCATCTCTTTGTCCAGTATGTCCTCCTGTACAGTCATCCCTCGGTATCACATAGGATTTGCTTCCAAGATCCCCCCCAAGATTACCCAAATCAGATGATCTGCAAGACCCTTATATAAAATTGCATAATACGGCCACATAAGGACATTTCGGTCAACAACAGACCACGCCTATGATGGTGGTCCATAACATTACGCTGGAGCTGAAAAATTCCTGTTGCCTGGCTACCTCAGAGCAGTCATGACATCATAGTGCAGTGTTGGTGGTGATGCTGGGGGAAACAAACCTAGTGCGTTACCAGACAGCTTTAACTGGATGTGGAGGAGGATAACATTAAGAATCTCTTAGAGGTGGTTCATGAGGAATGGGTTAATGAGGAGTCATTGGAACTGATACAGGAATGCATAGCTGAAGAAGAGGCAAGAGAATAGGGAACTGGCTGGGCGTAGTGGCACACATCTGTAATCCCTGTACTTTGGGAGGCCGAGGCAGGTGGATCACTTGAGGTCAGTGGTGTCAGGAGTGGTGGCACATGCCTGTGATCCCAGCTACTCGGGAAGCTGAGGTAGGAGAATCACTTGAACCCAGGAGGCGGAGGTTGCAGTGAGCCAAGGTCGCGCCACTGCACTCCAGCCCAAGCGACAGAGTGAGACTCCATCTCAAAAAAAAAAAAAAAAGAGAATGAGCCAATAGGAAACTGAAGAAAAAGAAAGAACTCTCAAGGCAATTCACAGTTAAATATATAGCAGAAGCTTTTGCAGACCTTGACAAGCTCCTTAAAAGGTTTGAAAACATAGGCACCAACACCTAAAGATTTTCATTAATAGAAAGGAACGTCCATGATGCATTATCTGCTCATAAGAACATTTAGGAAGACAAAAGAAACAAAGCAAGCAAACTACCGTGGACTATTCTGAAAGGAGAGCTTCAGGCAGGTCTTTCAGGAGGCGTCTGGGAGAAACCATTGTTACCACAGGAGGACTTTCTGGTGGGACAAGATGTGGCACTGGAAGACAGTGACACTGATGGTCCTGACCCTGTGCAGGCGTAGGCTGATGTGTGTGTTTGTGTCTTAGTTGTTGACAAAAATGTTTAAAAAGGTTAAAAAATTGAAAACAAGAAAAAGTTTAGAGAATTAAGGTAAAAAGATAAAATATTTTTGTATAGCTGTACAACATGTTTGTGTTTTAAGCTGTTGTTGCAAAAGGGTCAAAAAGTTAAATTTAAAAGTTTGTACGGTACAACAGTTGCAATAAATAAGCTTAGTTTATTACTGAAGAAAAAAGTATTTTTTTGTGAAGTTAGCGTAGCCTAAATGTGCAGTGTATGTGCAGTGTTTATAAAGCCTGTAGTAGTGTATAGTCATGTCCTAGGCCTTCGCATTCATTCATCACTCACTGACTCACCCAGAGCAATTTCCAGTCCTGCAAGCTCCATTCATGGTAAGTGCCTTAGACAAGTGTACCATTTTTTAAACTCTTATACCAAATGACTACCGTATTTTTTTTTCTTTTATTTTTCTTTTTGGAGACAGAGTCTCACTCTGTCACCCAGGCTGGAGTGCAGTGGTGTAATCTTAGCTTACTGCAACCTCTGCTTCCTGGGTTCAAGTGATTCTCCTGCCTCAGCCTCCCGAGTAACTGGGATTACAGGCACCCATCATCATGCCTGGCTAATTTTTGTGTTTTTGGTAGAAACGGGGTTTCCCCATGTTGGCCAGGCTGGTCTCAAACTCCCTACCTCAGATGATCCACCTGCCTTGGTCTCCCAAAGTGTTGAGATTACAGGCGTGAGCCACCGTGCCTGGCCTTACTGTACCTTTTCTATATTTAGATATGTTTTGACTTACGAGTACTTGGCATTGTTACAGTTGACTGTAGTATTCAGGACATAGCATGCCCTACAGATTTTTAGCAGTAAGCTATGTTATATATACCAGATGTGTAGTAGGCTATGCTATCTTGGTTTGTGTAAGTTCACTCTGTAATGAAATGGTCTGAAAATGTTTCTCAGAACATGTCCCTGTTATTAAGCAATGTGTGACTGTATTTGCATATAACCTATGCACATCCTCCCCATCCCCCCATATACTGTAAACCCAAGGGGGCCAGCCTCTCCACACCTGTGGGCGTTTCTCATCAGGTGGAAGGAGAGACTTGAGAAAAGAAAGAGACACAAAGTATAGAGAAAGAAAAGTGGGCCCAGGGGACCAGCGCTCAGCATACGGAGGACCCGCACAGGCACTGGTCTCTGAGTTCCCTCAGTATTTATTGATCATTATCTCCACCATCTTGGAGAGGGAGATGTGACAGGACAATAGGGTAATAGTGGGGAGAGGGTCAGCAGGAGAACATGTGAACAAATGTCTCTGTGTCATAAACAATCTTAAGAAAAAGGTGCTGTGCTTTGATGTGCACATACATAAACATCTCGGTGCATTAAAAAGCAGTATTGCCACCAGCAAGTCTCACCTCCAGCCCTAAGGTGGTTTTCTCCTATCTCAGTAAATAGAACATACACTGAGACATTCCATTGCCCAGGGATGAGCAGGAGACAGATGCCTTCCTCTTATCTCAACTGCAAAGAGGCCTTCCTCTTTCACTCATCCTCCTCAGCACAGACCCTTTACGGGTGTCAGGCTGGGGGGCGGTCAGGTCTTTCCCTTCCCACGAGGCCACATTTCAGACTATCACATGGGGAGAAACCTTGGACAATACCTGGCTTTCCTAGGCAGAGCAGTGTTTGTGTCCCTGGGTACTTGAGATTAGAGAATGGCGATGACTTTTACCAAGCATACTGCCTTCAAGCAATTGTTCAACAAAGCACATCCTGCATAGCCCTAAATCCATTAAGACTTGAGTAAACACAGCACATGTCTCTGCAAGCACAGGGTCGGGGCTAGGGTTACAGATTAACAGCATCTCAAGGCAGAAAAATTTTTTTAGTACAGAACAAAATCGAGTCTCTTATGTCTACTTCTTTCTACATAGACACAGTAACAGTCTAATTTCACTTTCTTTTCCCCACAGTAAACCATCTGATTACTTGTAATACCTAATTAAATATAAGTGCTATGTAAATACTTGTTATTCTGGCTGGTTTTCTTGTATTATTTTTATTTTATATTTTTTTTTATTGCTGTTTTATATTGGTATGTTGCTTCCTTTTTTTTTTTAATTATTTAAGTCTATAATTGGTTGAATCCTTGGATACAGACCCCATGCACTGTATACTCTGTCTGCCCATCAATCCGTTGATAGTCTTCTTTTTTGTTTTGTTTTGTTTTTAATAGCAGTCTTTTTGATCAGATCCAATCTTTGGTATCTGAGTGGTTTTGTTTAAGTAATCCTTATTTTATTTAACATGGCCCCCAAGCACATGAGCATTGATGTTGGCAGTTTGGATATGCCAGTGAGCATCTGTCACGTGCATCCTTTACATGGAGTAGATAGGGTTTAGTACTGTTCCAAGTTCCATTCATTCAGGGTTTTGCAACATATCCCCTTGGATGAAGGGATTTTACTGTATTCTGTATCCAGCATTGAGCACCGAAGCCGTGTCCTCATTTCAGAAGGCTGAGCTCAGCCTCTGATTCACAAAGAGGTGAGGGGTACTGTGCTCCGCATGGGGTTTGGTCAGAGCCAGGTCTGTGCCCTAAAGGGAATCTGAGTCCAGCCCAGCTCCCCACTGCTGCAGTGTGTGCTCGGGCTTCTCCAGGAGGGGAGCGGGTTCTGAAGAAAGGGGCCAAAAACTCACTTGTTCTTCCTGTAGGAGTTTGTTGTCCCAGCATCAACTCTGTTGCAGTGGGCAGCAGAGGACTGTATTTCCACAGGGTGAGGTCTCCCCTATGTGTGTGGTTGTGGCACAGGAAGAAAGTATGTTCATTCTAAACCCTAAACAGCATGTTTTTGACATTCAGGATTGACTTCTAAAGAGTCATGTTATGTGAAGGAGAAGCGCAGAAGAGGAAAGCAAAGGAGTCAGGGATGCCACTTACTCAGGTAAAGTGATATTCTCAGTTGATTGTTCTGTTTCTTATTTCTTCCTGAAATGCAGAGTACTGGAGTTGAGAGTCTTCTGAGTCTCAAGTGTCCTGCCTGACAGGTTTGCTGACACTCACCCATGCCTTCCCTCAGTCCCTCTCATCTCACTTAGATTCAATCCCTCGTGACCCAGTGACATGAACTTGGGAAGAGGCGACCCTGGGCATGGGCCTGGGAAGGGCTCACACCAGGCATGGATGGGGACGGGGTGAGGGCCCCGTGGTGTCAGTGCTGTTGGGCAGCAGGGATTGTTCAGGGGTCACATCTGGATGCACTGTCAGGTCTCTGTGGACCAGGATTAGAGGAGCTGCCCACAGAAGTCACGTATTAATGTGCACAAGTACCTGGTAACTTGTGCAATAAAAAATTAGGAAGATTTTGTGCTTTTTTTTTTTTTTTTTTTTTAAGACAAGAATCTCGCTCTGTCGTCCAAGCTGGCGTATAGTGGTGCAATCTCGGCTCACTGCAACCTCTACCTCCCAGGCTCAAGCGATCCTCCCACCTCAGCCTCTTGAGTAGCTGGGACCACAAATGCGTACCACTATGCCCGGCAATTTTTTGAATTTTTGGTAGAGATGTGGTTTCACCATCTCCACCCACCTCAGCCTCCCAAAGTGCTGGAATTACAGGCATGATCACGCCTGGCCTTTTTTGACTTTTAGTAATAGCCATTCTGACTAATGAGATGGTATCTCATTGTGGTTTTGATTTGCATTTCTCTAATGATCAGTGATAATGAGCTTTTTTTCCATATGCTTGTTGGCTACATGTATGTCTTCATTTGATAGGTGTCTGTTCATGTCCCTTGCCCACTTTTTTCGTTTGTTTGAGAAGGAATTTCGCTCTTGTCGCCCAGGAGGGAGTGCAGTGGTGCGATCTCAGCTCACTGCAACTTCTGTCTCCTGAGTTCAAGCGATTCTCCTGTCTCAGCCTCCCTAGTAGCTGGGATTACAGGCTCCTGCCAGCACACTCAGCTAATTTTTGCATTTTTAGTAGAGACGGGGTTTCACCGTGGTGGCTGGGCTGGTCTCGCAACTTCTGACCTCAGGTGATCCACCTGCCTCGGTGTCCCAAAGTGCTGGGATTATAAGCATGAGTCACTGCACCTGGCCCTTTGCCCACTTTTTTAATGGGGTTGTTTTTCTCTTGTAAATTTGTTTAAGTTCCTTGTAGATGCTGGATAGTAGACCTTTGTTAGATGCATAGTTTGCAAAAATTTTCTCCCATTCTGTAGGTTGTCTGCTCACTCTGTTGATAGTTTGTTTTGCTGTGCAGAAGCTCTTAATTGGATACTGCTTGTCAATTGTTGTTTTTGTTACGATTGCTTTTGGTGTCTTTGTCGTGAAATCTTTGCCCATTCCTGTGTCCAGGATGGTATTATCTGAGTTGTCTTCCAAGGTTTTTATAGTTTTGGGTTTTACATTGAAGTCTTTAATCCATCTTGAGTTGATTTTTGTATATCGTGTAAGGAAGGTGTCCAGCTTCAGTCTTCTGCATGTGGCTAGCCGGTTATCCAGCACTGTTTATGAAATAGGGAGTCTTTTCCCCATTGCTTGTTTTTGTCAGCTTTGTCAAAGATCAGTTGGTCATAGATGTGCGGCCTTATTTCTGAGCTGACTATTCTGTTCCATTGGTCTTTGTGCCTGTTTTTGTACCAGTACCATATTGTTTTGGTTACTGTAGCCTTGTGGTATAGTTTGAAGTTGGATAACTTGATGCCTCCAGCTTTGTTCTTTTTGCTTAGGATTGCCTTGGCTATTCAGGCTCTTTTTTGGTTGCATATGAATTTTAAAATAGTTTTTTCTAGTTCTGCAAAGAACATCGTTAGGATTAGCATTCAATCTGTAAATTCTTTGGGCAGTATGATCATTTTAATTATATTGATTCTTCTTATCCATGAGCATGGGATATTTTTCCGTTTGTGTCTTCTCTGATTTCAATTTGAGCAGTGGTTTGTAATTCTCACTGTAGAGAATAATCTAAATTTTAATGGACAAAGCAGTGGGTTAGTGTAGTAGTATAAGCCTGTAATTTGAGCTTCTTGACCTTCTTGGGAGGCTGAGATGGGAGGATCTCTTAAGTTTGAGACCACCCTGGGCAATATAGTGAGACCTCACATAAATTTTAAAACAGATTATATTTATATTTTTGAAAATAGGCATTTGTGACTGGAGTTCAAGTTTCTATGTTTTTTTCATGATCTCCTTTTTTTTTTTTTTTTTTTTTTTTTTTTTTGAGACAGAGTCTCACTCTCTTGTCTAGGCTGGAGTGCAGTGATGTGATCTCGGCTCAGTGCAACCTCCATCTCCTGGGTTCAAACAATTCTCCTACCTCAGCCTTGCGAGTAGCTGGGATTACAGGCGCCTGCCATCAGGCCTAGCTAATTTTTGCATTTTTAGTAGAGATGGAGTTTCACCATATTGGCCAGGCTGGTCTCAAACTCCTGACCTCAGGTGATCTGCCCGCCTCAGCCTCCCAAAGTGTTGGGATTATAGGCGTGAGCCACCGTGCCCAGCCAGTCTACTTTTTTTTTTAATAGCTTAATATACAGTAATGTTTGTAAACTAAACTGAGTACTATTTATACATTTTTATTGTTGCAAACATGCTGAAATACACATTAGCAAAAATAATAATGACTGCCGGGCCGTATGTGCACCATTAGTCCCAGTTTCTTGGGAGGCTGAGGAGGTAGGATCATTTGAGATCAGGAGTTCAAAGCTGTACTGTGCTGTGATTACTCACTGCACCCCAACCTGAACAACATAGCAAGACCTGGTCTGTAAGATTTTTTTTTTAAAAAGATGACAAATGTCATCTAAAAAATAGTCATTGAGAGACAACTCTTTATTTAATTTATATGTAAAGTGCATATGTTTATTACTTTATAAGCTAAGTGTGTGTAAGTGTGTACCTGTGATGTGTTTGCATGAGTGCATGGATAAGGAAGCCTATAGTTAAGGTACAACATCATTTTATATAAATTTTTTAATTTTAATTTTAATTTTATTTTTTATTTTTTTGAAACAGAGTCTCGCTCTGTCGCCCAGACTGGAGTGCAGTGGCGTGATCACGGTTCACTGCAGCCTCCGCCTCCCGGGTTCAAGTGATTCTCCTGCCTCAGCCTCCCAAGTAGCTGGGACTACAGGCGTGCGCCGCCACACCCAGCTAATTATTATATTTTTAATAGAGATGGGGTTTCACCGTGTTGGCCAGGATGGTCTTGATCTCCTGACCCCGTGATCTGCCCGCCTTGGCCTCCCAAAGTGGTGGGATTACAGGCGTTAGCCAATACTTTTGGCCATGTGTGTTGGCTCACCCCTGTAATCCCAGCACTTTGGGAGGCCGAGGCGGGCATATCACCTGAGGTCGGGAGTTTGAGACCAACCTGACCAATGGAGAAACGCTGTCTCTACTAAAAATACAAGATTAGCTGGGTGTGGTGGCACATACCTGTAATCCTAGCTACTCGGGAGGCTAGGCAGGAGAATCCCTTGAACCTGGGAGGCAGAGGTTGTGGTGAACTGAGATCACACCATTGCACTTGAGCCTGGGCAGCGAGAGCAAAACTCCATGTCAAAAACAAAAAATTTATATTTTTGAACAGTTGAAATTACATCTGAAATACTTTCCATGACCTTATAAGTGTTCTACACTATTGGGCCGGGCACGGGGCTCATGCCTGTAATCCCAGTGTTTTGGGAGGCCGAGAAGGGTGGCTCACATGAGGTCAGGAGTTCAAGACCAGCCTGGCCAACCAGGGTTTGGTGAAACCCTGTCTCTACTAAAAATATAAAAATTAGCCAGGTATGATGGCGCATGCCTATAATCCTAGCTGCTCGGGAGGCTGAGGCAGGAGAATTACTTGAATCTGGAAGGCAGAGGTTGCAGTGAGCGGAGATCGCGCCACTGCACTCCAGCCTGGGTGACAGACTGGAGACTCTGTCAAAAAAAAATGTGTTCTACACTATCACATTAATGAGTTAATGACAGTAAGAATAGTAATGTATTACGAGGAGGATACGTGTATATGCATATATAATGACCTTTTATGCAGATTTAGGTTTTTGTTCATGAACTTAACTTTACTCAGGTAATTGTCAGTTTACTTTTGATGCTGATCTGTTACTTAACAGTTTGATTCTTTAGGTTTGATTCTAATGCCCAGACACAAAATTAACCCACAGTTATCTCTATAGAAGTGTTAGGTATTATGTTCAACACACCAACTGATACGCATTATCTACCTGAGCTAGAATACAAGTAGTTGGTGTCTTCAGAGACACTTGTATTCTAGCTCAGGTAGATACTGAATGGAAAATCTACACTGCTTTAAAGACTATCATAACTTTTTGTGGAAAAGTATAATAAAACTCAATCACAGACACATAACTAGCTCAAAAATACCTTAATGTGGATATGTCAGAATGTTCACATCAGCATTTTAGTTGAGTCAATCCTTACAACCTTCTTCTCGTTTTGTGTGAACATAATTACTCTCTCCATACCCTGTTGGTCAAATGCATCTTTCATTTTAGGGACACTTGACATTCAGGGACGTGGCCATAGAATTCTCTCAGGAGGAGTGGAAATGCCTGGACCCTGTGCAGAAGGCTTTATACAGGGATGTGATGTTGGAGAACTACAGGAACCTGGTCTCCCTAGGTAAGGATAATGCCCCTCAGAAGTTGGGGTCTGCCCTTAGTATCTCTGCATTTTCCCTTGTGTGCCTATTGGGAGCCCCTGCATTGCTTGACTGAGATTGAAACCCTGTTGACTTGGCTGGGCGCAGTGGCTCATGCCTCTAATCCCAGCACTTTGGGAGGCCGAGGTGGGTGGATTGCTTGAGGTCAGGAGTTCGAGACCAATCTGACCAACATGATGAAACCCCATCTCTACTAAAAATACAAAAATTAGCCAGGCATGGCGGCATATGCCTGTAATCTCAGCTACACGGGAGGCTGAGACAAGAGAACTGCTTGAACCCAGGAGGCAGAGGTTGCAGGGAGCTGAGATCATGCCACTGCATTCCAGCCTGGGCAACAGAGCAAGATTCTGTCTCAAAAAAAAAAAGAAAGCCTGTTGACTCAGAAATGAAAAGCTCCCGTATACTTTCTGGACTTGAAATGCCCCCTTTCTTCAGATCTTCTGTCTCCTTCATGATGCACCTTTGGGTTGGTACCTGGGCTTACGTGTGTGTAAAACCTTATGACAAACTTTTAAAATATCCAGTTCCCTGTTTTCTACCCCTGTGATTTTGATTCTGTAGTTCTTGGAAGAGAGTTCGATATCCAATTATTACAGGGTTCCCTAAGCATTCAGAAGGAGACACTCTGTGGGTGAATTTGTGAAACGTTTTTCTTGAAATCTTGATTAGTTTTTTTTGTTTTTTAATTTATAGTAGAATGACTTATAATCCTTTGAGTATATACCCAGTAATGGGGTTGCTGGGTCAAATGGTATTTCTGGTTCTAGATCCTTGAGGAATTGCCACATTGTCTTCCACAATGGTCGAACTAATTTACACTCCCACCAACGGTGTAAAAGCGTTCCTGTTTCTCCACATTGTCTCCAGCATCTGTTGTTTCCTGACTTTTTAATGATCGCCGTTCTAACTGGCGTAAAAGGATTAATTTTTAATATCGTCTCTCCTGCCTAAACAGAGGGCTTGGATTTTGGAGACATCACAGCACATCTTGATTCTTTCTTTTATAAACAGGGATATGTCTTCCTGATCTGAGTATTATCTCCATGATGAAGCAAAGGACAGAGCCCTGGACTGTGGAGAATGAAATGAAAGTAGCAAAAAATCCCGTTAGGTGGGAAGGTATCAAAGATATCAACACAGGTAAGAGCTCAGATGGACAGAGTGGAAGCCACACTTTTTTTTTTTTTTTTTTTTTGACACAGTCTCTGTCCCCCACGCTGGAGTTCAGTGGCCATCACAGCTCACTGCAGCCTTGAACTCCTGGGCTTCAGCAGTCCTCCTGCTTTGGCCTCCCAAAGTGATGTGATTATAGGCACGTGCCCCATGCCTACCAGAGCCACACTATTAAATAGTGTTTGGGAAACTCTCTGTAAGCGGGAGAACTATGTGGAGAAATAGGAGTTGAAATCCTGTGAGTTCTTAAGAGAAATCTTTCTTGACCCGCACCTGTCACCACGTCCTTTATTTATTTATTTGCTTATTTATTTATTCAGAAAGAGAGTCTCGCTCTGTCTCCGGGCTGGAGTGCAGTGGTGCGATCTCAGCTCACTGCAACCTCTGCCTCCTGGATTCAAGTGATTCCCCTGCCTCAGCCTCCCGAGTAGCATGCCCAGCTAATTTTTGTATTTTTAGTAGAGACGGGATTTCACTTTGTTAGCCAGGATGGTCTCAGTCTCTTTACCTCGTGAGCTGCCCACCTCGGCATCCCAAAGTGCTGGGATTATGGCGTCAGCCACTGCGCCCAGCCCACCCTTTCATTTAAATGTGTAATAGTTTTATGTTTTTGCCCTCCAGTGTTACTGCAGCCCAAACAGAAGCAAAATCAAAGCCTTTTATCATGATGGACAATATCCTGTCATGTGGCTTGTGTCAACTCTTTAGTTCCTTGATTCTGCGGGGAAAGGGAGTGCCATTGCAAAGGAGTTTCTTTCCCCTGTGGTCTCTTTCTGTATGGGATTTTATCTGTTGCTCAGTTCTCTGTCCTTATACATCAGAGCTGAGGTCTGCATAGACCTGCCTCCTTGACTTATTCATGATCCGCCCATTTCCTGTATTGGGAAGACCTGATGGGGAGAAGGGAAAACATAGGTTGTTGTCTTTTGCTTCTGGGGCCTGGAAACTGCATAGAGCTGTTTCAAGCCCACTTTGCCTGTTCTGGTCTGTTTGAGGTGGGAAAAAGTCAGTGATTTTCCTACTCTCACATGCTGCTTGGCACAGAATGCTTCATTTCTGGTCACCAAAATGTGTGGAGATTTCTCCCCACCAAAAACCAGTTTTGGGGTTTCCTGCAATTCATTCGTGACACTGTCTACCTGAGTTAGAGTCGCATCCCACAGGGTAAGGGTTGAGTTCCCAAGCCTGTCCCCCACCTAAGCCACCAGTTGCCAGTAGTGGGTAGTCACCTTTCCACCTGACCAGCCACAAGTCAGGGTTCCCTTGACCCCCTTCTTCTGTTTGGTTACTTTGCTAGGGTGGCTCACAAAACTCAGTGAAACACTTCGTTATGTTCATTGCTTCATGATGAAGGATGTTTCCAAGGATACAGATGGACAGCCAGATGAGGAGATTCACAGGGTAGGCACGTGGGGAGATTCACTGGCTGTGCCATCCTCCAGTCCCACCGCATGTGTTCAGCATTTGAAAGCTCTCAGGAATTTTTATGGAGGCTTCATTACATAGACATGATTGATATTAACTCAGTCTCCAGCCCCTGTACCCTTCCTGGAGGATGGTGGTTGGTGCTGACAATTCCATGCTTCTAACCATGGCCTGGTCTTTCTGGGCTTTCTATATCTGCAGATACAGAAACCATGGATATGAAGGCCAATAGTAAGGGACTTGAGCATCACACATTCGGTATCTTAGGGTTTTTTAGCACAAAACTCGCAAACCATGTTTTTCCTCTGCTCTCACACCACCACAATTACCAACACAGAAGAAGACTTCTCTGACCAAAGGTGTGGGGATTTTTCCCCATATACCAAGCAGCAGACAGCAGCTGGGTGTCCTCCAACTCACTTCCAACACTACCTGGAGATAGGGCCAGGTCCCACAGGTTTAGGGCTCAGTCTCCAAGACTTGCCCCACTTCCCACTAGTTGCAAGTCTGGGTCCCCAGAACTTCTGACCAACTGGCTTCCAGTTGAGGTTTCCACGATCCCCTCTTTGGGCCCAATTAATTTGTTGGAGCAGCTCACAGAAACACTGACGTTTACCAGTTTATTATGAAGGATATTGCAAATGATACAAATGAAGGGACATATGGGACAGGTATGGGGGAAGAACTGTGGAACTTCCATGCCCTCCCTGGGCGTGCCACTCTCTAGGAAACTGCCATGTGTTCCGACATCCCGAAGCTCTTGGAACCTAATCCTCTTGGGTTTTGATGGAAGCTTTGTGACATCAGCATTCCTTCCCCCAGCGTATACAGCAGGACCCTCTCTGGGGAGGTCGTAAGACCAGCAATCAGAAAGGTGGGGGGGAAGTTATAGAATCCTGCCTTAGAGCAGGTGAAAGGAGAGGAGGAGAAGGTTGGAGAGGTTATTTTTCTTAAGGCCTGCACACAAGGCCTAAGCCAACATAACCAAAGACTGCAGCAAGGGCTATGGGAGTTATGAGCCAGGAACTGCGGACAAAAACCAATGTATGTGTGTATCATAACACCACACAGAGGAGCCTGGAACGTGTCCTCCCTGGATACCTAGGGAGGTATTCTGAATAGAAATAATGGATGTGCGCCCAGTCAGTAATCAGTGAAAGAGAGCTAATAAGCACAAGTGGGTACCACTGCACTTAGATGATGTAAGACCAGAAAGTCAAGAAAGACCTGGATCCCGGAAGCCCTCAATTAAAAAAAAAAAAAAAAAGAAAGAATCCCAGCGGACTTTTTTTTCCCCCCCTAATTATAAAGGAAAAGCCTTCATTCTTTCAATATTGAGTATGTTACCTTTCGGCTTTTTATATATGGCCTCTATTAAGCAGGTTCCTTGTATTCCTAGTGTGTTGAGTGTTGTTTTCTTTTTCTTTTGAGGGGGTGTCTCTTGCTGTCATGATCTCGATCTCGGCTCACTGCAACCTCTACCTCCCAGGCTCAAATGGTCTTCCCACCTCAACCGCCCGAATAGCTGTGACCAAGGCCACACGCTTGGCTGATTTTTGTATTTTTTGTAGAGGTGGAGTTTTGCTATGTTAGCCAGGCCGGTCTGGAATTCCTGATCTCAAGTGATCCCCCCATCTTGGCCTTCCAAAGTATTTGGATCATAGGCATGAGCCGCCATGCCTGGCGAGTGTTTTTATCATAATGATTGCTGAGGTTTTTCAAATGTTTTTCTGCATCAGCTGAGATTATTGCATGGATTTCTTTTTCTTTATTCTGTTATTGTGGGGTTTTACATGGACTGATGTTCCAAAGTTGCATCCTTCTTGTATTCCTGAAATAAATTTTGCTTGGTCATGAGGTGTGATCCATTTTACTACACTGCTAAATTTATTTTGCTACCATTTGGTTGAGGATTTTTGCAGTAGATTAATCAGTAATATTGCTCTGCAGTTTTGTTTTGTTTTGTTTTAAGATGGAGTCTCACTCTGTGGCCCAAGCTGGAGTGCAGTGGTGTGATCTCGGCCCACTGCAGCCTCCACCTCCTGGGCTCAAGTGATTCTCCTCTCTCAACCTACCAAGTAGCTGAGACTACAGGTACCTCTCACCATACCCGGATAACTTTTATATTTTCAATAGAGACGGTTTCACTATGTTGGCCAAGCTGGTCTCGAACTCCTGACTTCAGGTGATCTGCCTGCCTCAGCCCCCCTAAGTGCTGGGATTACAGGTGTGAGCCACCGTGCCCAGCCTGCCCTGCGGTTTTCTTTAGGGCCTTTGCCTCTGCTTTCAAGGTAACACCGGCCTCACTGAATGAGTGTAGAAGTGGTTCTCCTCATCAAGCTTATGGCATGTTTTGAGGAGGATTAGTGTTAAATCTTTTTCAATATTTGATAGAATTTTACACTGAAGTCATCTGGTCCATTGCTGTTTTAGTTGGTAGGTATTTGATAACTGATTCGGTCTTCTTATTTGTTACTGGTGTGTTTAGATTTTCTACTTCTTCATCGTTAAGTCTTGGTAAGTGGTGTCTATCTACAAATGTATCCATTTTTTTCTTGGTTATCATATTTTTTGTTATGTAATTGTTGAGTCTCATTTAACTTCCATTTTTATTTGTATAGACTTGTTTGTAATGTCCTCTTTTACCTTTCTCATTGTAGTTTTTTCGGTCGTATGCTTCATGTTTCTTTTTTCTAGTTTATCTAGGTAAGGATTTGTCAGTCTTATTCAAAGTGTGAACTCTTACTTTCCTGACTTTCTCTAGTGCTTCTCTGCTGTTTTCTTTGTTTTATAACCTTTATTTTTTCTTTCTGCTATCTTTGTGTTCATTTTTTTCTTTTTAATTTTTTTTTAGACGGAGTCCTGCTCTGTCACCCAGGCTGGAGTGCAGTGGTACGATCTCAGCTTACTGCAACCTCTGCCTCTCAGGTTCAAGCAATTCTCCTGCCTCAACCTCCCAAGTAGCTGGGACTATGGGCGCACGCCACCATGCCCGGCTAATTTTTTGAATTTTAGTAGAGATGAGGCTACATCGTGTTGCTCAGGCTAGTCTTGAAATCCTGAGTTCAGGCAGTCCGCCTGCCTGGGCCTCCCAAAGTGCTGGGATTATAGACGTAAGCCGCTGCGCCCAGCCATGTTCATGTTTTTCTTTTTGAGGTATAAAGTTAGGTTTTTTTATATGTTATTTTATTCTAGTTTAGTTATTTATTTTTTAAGAGATAGGGTCTCACTGTGTCACTTAGGCTTGAGTGTAGCGGCATGATTATAGATCCTGGGATCCAGTGATGATCTCACTTTAGCCTCCTGAGTAGTTGGGACTACAAGCACACAACACTGTGCCTCACTAATTAAAACAGGAATGTATTTTATTTTATTTATTTTGTTTAGAGATAGGGGATCTTACTTTGTTGCCTAGGCTGGTCTGCAACTCCTGGCTTCAAGAGATCCTCCCACCTCAGCCTCCCAAAGTGCTGAGATTACAGGTGTGAGCCACCCAGCCATTTCTTTATTTTTCATGTATGCATACATCATTACAATATCCCTTCCAGCACTATTTTTGTTGCATTTCATGAGTTCTGCTGTGTTATATTTATATTTTCTTTTATATCAAGATATTTTCTAATTTTCCTTTTATTTTTATTTATTTATTTACTTTTATTTATTTATTTTGAGATGGAGTCTCACTCTGTCGCCCAAGGTGGAGTGCAGTGTGCAGTGGCGTGATCTTGGCTCACTGCAACCTCCGCCTCCCGGGTTCAAGTGATTCTTCTCCTGCCTCAGCCTGCTGAGTAGCTAGGATTACAGGCACACACACCGTCATCACACCCGGCTAATTTTTTTTTTTTTTTTTTTTTTGTATTTTTAGTAGAGTCAGGGTTTCACCATGTTGGTCAGGCTGGTCTTGAATTCCTGACCTCATGATCCACCTGCCTTGGCCTCCCAAAGTGCTGGGATTACAGGCGTGAGCCACCGCACCCGGCTTTTATTTTTATTTTTTGGAAACGTAGTCTCATTCTATCACTCAGGCTGGAGTGCAGTGGCATAGTCTCAGCTCACCGCAACCTCTGCCTCCCAGGTTCAAGCAGTTCTCCTGCCTCAGCTTCCTGAGTAGCTGGGATTACAGGCACATGCCACCATACTTGGCTAATTTTTGTATTTTTAGGTGGAGATGGGGTTTCACCATGTTGGCCAGGCTGGTCTCGAACTCCTGACCTCAAGTGATCCACCCGCCTCGCCCTTCCAAAGTGCTGGGATTACAGCCACCGCACCTGGCCTATGCAGCTGCTCTTAAGTGTCTTATTTTCCCTGAGAGGCTCATCCTGCTTTTTCTTAGAAGCTTTCAATTTCTGTTGTATTTTTTTGCTCATAATCCCTCTCAAACTCAGCTGACTCCTGCAGATTCCCCACTGCTCAGTGCATCACCCCACCTTTTGGGTTTTCTCCACTGCCAGTGTGATAATACGAAGTATGCTGATATTTCTTCTAGTGTCTAAGTCAGATGAGGCAGATTCCAGTCCCTCCGTCAGGGTCTAAACATACCAGAACCATGGGTTCCAATTACACTCTTTACTTGCTTTCCTAGGGAGGTGCTGTGCAATGAGAAGCAAAGCAGGAAACAAGCCTATTACGAATCAACTTGGATTAACCTTTCAGTTACCTCTGCCAGAACTGGAGATATTTCAAGGTGAAGGGAAGATTTATGAATGTAATCAAGTTGAAAAGTTCATCAGCCACAGTTCTTCAGTTTCACCACTTCAAATATTTTATTCTGGGGTCAAAACCCACATTTTTTATAAACACAGGAGTGATTTTGTTGATTTTCCATTGCTGTCACAAGAACAGAAAGCACACATTAGGAGAAAACCTTACGAATGTAATGAGCAGGGCAAGGTCTTCAGAGTGTCTTCAAGCCTTCCTAATCATCAAGTAATCCACACTGCAGATAAACCTAACAGATGTCATCAATGTGGGAAAGCCTTCAGGTACAAGTCAGGCCTTGCAGAACACTGGAAAATTCGTCCGGGAGAGAAACCTTACAAATGTAAAGAATGTGGCAAGCTCTTCAATCGAATTGCATACCTTGCACGACATGAGAAACTGCATACTGGAGAGAGTCCTTACAAATGTAATGAGTGTGGCAAGGTCTTCAGTCGTATTACATACCTTGTACGACATCAGAAAATTCATACTGGAGAGAAACCTCATAAATGTAACGAATGTGGCAAGGTTTATAGTAGCAGTTCATACCTAGCACAACATTGGAGAATTCATACAGGAGAGAAACTTTACAAATGTAATAAATGTGGCAAAGAATTTAGTGGACATTCAAGCCTCACCACCCATCTGTTAATCCACACTGGAGAGAAACCTTACAAATGTAAAGAATGTGACAAGGCTTTTAGGCACAAGTTCTCCCTAACAGTTCATCAGAGAAATCATAATGGAGAGAAACCTTACAAATGTCATGAATGTGGCAAAGTCTTCACTCAAGTTTCACACCTTGCACGACATCAGAAAATTCACACTGGAGAGAAACCTTACAAATGTAATGAGTGTGGCAAAGTCTTCACTCAGAATTCACACCTTGCAAATCATCAGAGAATCCATACTGGAGAGAAACCTTACAAATGCCGTGTGTGCGGTAAGGTCTTTAGGCACAGCTCATGGCTTGTACAGCATCAGAGAAGCATTCATGAGAGAGTCCTTACAAACTGAGTTTGGCAAACTCTATCATGAGTTCTAGCATTAATCAACATCCAAGAGTCCATACTAGAAAGAAATCATTTAAATATACTATCTATGGCACAGGCTGTATCGACACCTACCAAATCAGTAGACATCAAAACATTCGTCTTTGGTGAAACCACACAAATGGATGGTGTGTGCCAAGGCTAACAAGTCAAAATCTGTTGAACCTGATGATATGATGTGTATAAAGGGTGCAAGGACACGTGGAAATGGTCTGTTATATTCGGGTTATTAAAAATGTAATTATTTGGATTTGAAAGGCCAGGTGCAGTGGTTCATGCCTATAATCTCAGCACAATAGAAAACCAAGACAGGAGGGTCACTTGATGCCATGAGATCAAGATCAGCATGGGCTACGTAGCAAGGCCTATCTCTACAAAATAAAAAACCCAAGCCCTTGGCATGTGTCTGTAGTTCCAGCTACTCGAGTGGCCAAAGCAAGAGGATTGCTCAAGCCCAGGAGTTTGAGAGTTTGAGCAGTGAGCTCTGATCTTGCCATTTGTACTCCAGCTTGGGTGACAGAACGAGTCCCTGTCTCAAAAGAAAGCAAAAAAAAAGGCTAGTTTTTATGACTTCAACCTGAACTTTGAAATCTCTTCATGTGCCTTCCCTACAGGCCTTTCACTGTGGTCTCTGGGAAAGAATCAGTCAGATGACAGGGCTGACTTCATTAGCTGAGGAGCGTTTCTATCCAATTTCCTGGAAGAATAAGGACTCTTCCTTTTCAGATTAAAGATTGTCTGATTTAGAGGCCATGGAGATGGACAGAGAAGAACAAAACCGTGATGGTAGTCATCATGTTTATTGCAGTTAGCACACTATTTTCCTGACGGGCACAGTGCTGCTGTGCTCTACAAGTGACCATGAAATACAGCATGCCATGACTTTAGGACACAGGGATTTTTATGGGAAGAGAGTCAAGTCATTAGGGACTGATTACGTAGTAGAGACAATGCAGGGGAAATGGTGGCCACCTTCTCCATTGAATAGCAATAGCTCCTGTTTAGCAAAGACTGATTAAAAAGTACTCTTATTTTTGAAATGGAAGAGAGAACAGTTACATCAGAGTAGAGAGTTTAATCAAAACTACCAATGGAACATGTTCTTGAGTAGGATTCATGTTTAACTGCTGGCATAATTTGCTTCTGTTTGATTTAGAATGTCCATAGTTCTCATGTTTGGAACAATAAAGTTGAAATTTTCCAAAGTGTGAATGATTCACCTTCTTTCTACCATATTGTTTATCTCAGGAGGATACTTCATAGCAGACAATAATGAGGCACCATTAGCATTTTATTTTTATTTTTTTATTATACTTAAAATTCTAGGGTACATGTGCACAACATGCAGGTTTATTACCTAGGTATACATGTGCCATGTTGGTTTGCCACACCTGTCAACTCGTCATTTACATTAGGTATTTCTCCTAATGCTATCCCTCCCCAAGCCCGCCACCTCCTGACAGGCCCTGGTGTGTGATCTTTCCCGCCCTGTGTCCAGGTGTTCTCATTGTTCAGTTGCCACCTATGAGTGAGAACATGGCGTGTTTGGTTTTCTGTCACTGTGATAGTTTGCTGAGAATGATGGTTTCCAGCTTCATCTATGTCCCTGCAAAGGACGTGAACTCATCCTTTTCATGGCTGCATAGTATTCCTTTTTTTTTTTTTTTCTGAGATGAAGTTTTGCTCTGTTGCTCAGGCTGGAGTGCAGTGGCACGATCTTGGCTCACTGCAACCTCTGCCTCCCGGGTTCAAGCGATTCTCCTGTCTATGCCTCCCAAGTAGCTGGGATTACAGGCATACACCACCACACCTGGCACATTTTTTGTATTTTTAGTAGAGATGGGGTTTCACCATGTTGGCCAGGCTGGTCTCAAACTCCTGACCTCAGGTGATCTGGCTGCCTTGGGTTCCTAAAGTGCTAAGATGATAGGCGTGAGCCACCATACCTGACCAGGATTTTTAAGGTTGAAGCATCCACAACAATTTTGTGGGTGAAATGAAATGACATACACTTTTGGGTATATATACTTAGGTAAGTATGATTTTGGGTAATACTTAGTACTGAAGTTATTCTCTCTACTCTTTGTTTTTGTTTTTTGTTTCGTTTGTTTTGTGATGGAGTTTCGCTCTTGTTGTCCAGGCTGGAGTTCAATGGTGTGATATTGGCTCACCGCAACTTCCGCCTTCCAGGTTCAAGCGATTCTCCTGTGTCAGCCTCTCGAGTAGCTGGGATTACAGTCATATGCTACCATGCCTGGCTAATTTTTTATTTTTAGTAGAGAGAGGGTTTCTCCATGTTGATGAGGCTGGTCTCAAACTCCTGACCTCAGGTGATCTGCTCACCTCGGCCTCCCAAAGTGCTGGAATTATAGGTGTGAGCCACCGCACTTGGCTTACCTCTACTCTGCCGTAAGATGCTTATGTGGATAAAGTGAAAAATCACATAACAGCGCAACTTCATCATCAACTTCATCAACACCCTCTGTGTTCATCATTGTTGATGAACATGCACTGTATTATGTTTCTATGTGCCTTTTTCTTGTGTGCTAAATAAGACCTGTGGCAAGCACCTTCATTTTCAGGAAGCAAAAACACAGATACAGTAATGTGGAAAATAGGACAAAGTGTGGACTTCAGGATGAAAATATTGTAACAATATTGCTATTGACCTTGTAGTGCTCAGTGACATAATTTGAAAATATTAATGTTCAGAAATGTTCTCTTAAGGATGAACATACAGAATGGGAATTTTGTTTTCCTTTGGTAGATTAACTAGAAACTTCATATTTTCGCCCTCATAACATTTTTGGTTATTTGAACTTTTGATCACTCTTCTGGAACTGCTTTGACATCCACCTGAAGTTTGGTTCGGATTTTGAGAATGATGATGCCATTCAGTAACGTGATCTGAAAATGTTTACCCATAATGAGGCTTTCTGGGGAGAGCAGGGTAGACTTCCCCAGCTGGTTCAAAAATGACTTTAGGGAATCGGCACAGGTGACTGGCTTGGGGTAAGATGATTGTTAAGGGATATGGCTGGGGCAGGGGTGCCCACTTGTGGTTTGAACTTCCAGCTGGTGCCAAAGGAGTGGGCACTGAGGATTTTTCAGTTGGCCAGATGGGCAGAATAGGAAGAGGGAGTGCAGAGGTGTCAAAGGCGTTAAGTGTTCAGACATCACAAAATGCAGTCAAGTCTAGTACAACACTGAATGTTTCCTCTGGAACTCCTGCCATCTTGGTTAGGAAAGACCCCAAATTTTCTTCATGATAATATCTTATGTTCCTTTTATAGCTACAGATGCAAGTCTCATTGCACAATATGATTGTTGAAAATGCTTGTGAAATATTTTGTAGTAAAATTGCCTAAGTTACTTTTTACAGTAGACAATGAAAATTATTGTGTGGAAGGGTTTATAATATAATGTATTATATAATATGATTTATTAAAATATATTTATTATAAATATATTACTAGAAGGGCATTTTTCTAAAAACTATGGAAATGTCATTTTCCCATTATAGCATTAAGCAATATATTCTATGGTTCATTTTCAACTCTAATAAAATTATATTTTGTCTTTATGTGTATATATATATATACACACACATTTTTTTTTTTTTTTACTTTTTTCTTTTTCTATACATTGCATCCAGATGCTATGCTTGTATTTTTTTCTTTGAGACAGAGTCTTGCTCTGTCACCCAGGCTGGAGTGCAGTGGCGTGATCTTGGCTCACTGCAGCCTCCACCTCCCGGGCTCAAGTGATTCTCCTGCCTCAGCCTCCCGAAGAGCTGGGATTACAGATGTGCAACATCACCACACCTGGCTAATTTTTGTATTTTTAATAGAGATGGGGTTCACCATGTTGGCCAGGCATGGTCTTGAACTCCTGACCTCAGGTGACCCGCCTACCTCAGCCTCCCAAAGTGCTGGGATTACAGGCATGAGCCACTGCGCCTGGCCAGATGCTGTGCTTAATACATTTTTTCCCAGTGTCACTGTAGTAAAACTTTAGGGGACACAAAAATGAGACTGTTGTTTAGAGACAATATTTTGTGACAAGAGTATGCACAAGACAATGGCAGGTATAAACGTTTTATTGTAAATATGAAAAAGGAAAAATGCTTTCATTATATTAGAGGACTTGAAATAACGTGAAGTGATTTCAACCCTTTATTTATTTATTTTAATATTTATTTATTTTTTTGAGATGGAGTTTCACTCTTGTTGCCCAAGCTTGAGTGCAATGGCGCGATCTCAGCCCACTGCAACCTTCACCTCCTGGGAGCGTGCTCCTCTATCTTTTTTTTCAGATGTTTGAGCTATTCCAGGTTTTTTGCCTTTCTACATAATTGTTTGGATAATCTTGTCAGTATCTACAAAGTGCCTTGATAGTAAATATATTAACCGTGTGTATCAATTTGGGGTAATTTCACATTTTTTCTATGTTGAGTCTATCAATAAATTGATACTGTATATGTCTCTATCTGGGTGTCTTTGATGTCTTTCATCAGCATTTTGTAGTTTTAAAATCCTGAGAATGTTAAATTAACATTTTTTTTACTTTTTTTTTTTTTTTTTTTTTTTGAGACAGAGTCTTGCTCTGTTGCCTGGTCTGGAGTGCAGTGGTGCGATCTCAGCTCACTACAGCCTCCACCTTACAGGTTCAAGCGATTCTCCTGCGTCAGCTTCCCGAGTATGCCACCATGCCCGGCTAATTTTTGTATTTTTAGTAGAGATGGGGTTTTACCATGTTGGCCATGCTGGTATTGAACTCCTGACCTCAAATGATACACCCGCTTCGACCTCCCAAAGTGCTGGGATTACAGGCCTAAGCCACCACGCCTGGCCTTCATTGACCTTTCTATTGAGCAATCATATGTAGCATTGTATTTTTAATTTCAGGTTCCATGTGTTAATTGCTAGTGGATACAAATATACAAGATTTTTGGCCGGGCACAGTGGCTCACGCCTGTAATTCCAGCACTTTGGGAGGCCGAGGCGGGCGGATCACAAGTTCAGGAGATTGAGACCATCCTGGCTAACATGGTGAAACCCCGTCTCTACTAAAACTTAAAAAAAAAAGTTAGCTGGGCGTGGTGGCGGGTGCCTGTAGTCCCAGCTACTCAGGAGGCTGAGGCAGGAGAATGGCATGAACCCGGGAGGCGGAGCTTGCAGTGAGCCAAGATCGTGCCACTGCACTCCAGCCTGGGTGACAGAGCGAGACTCCGTCTCAAAGAAAAAAAAAAGAAATATACAAGATTTTTGTATGTTGATGTTGTACCTTGAGACCTTTAAATTTTAGTTTGGAGACTTTTGTAGATTTTTTTTGGAATATTCTACATACAGCTATTTTGTTAGTTTCCTCTTGCTACTGGAGTGAATGCCTTAAAACAAGAAAAAATGTATTCTTGCCCAGGTATGGTGGCTCATGCCTATAACCCCAGCACTTTGGGACGCTGAGGCAAGTGGATCACTTGAGTTCAGGAGTTCGAGACCAGCCTGGCCAGCATGGTGAAACCTTGTCCCTACCAAAAATACAAAAATTAAGCAGGCTTGGTGGCGGGTGCCTTTGATCCCAGGTACTTGGGAGGTGAGGCAGGAGGATCGCTCGAACCCGCAAGGCGGAAGTTACAGTGAGATAACACCATTGCATCCCAATCTGGGAAACAAGAGCGAAACTCCGTCTCAGAAAAAAAGAAAGAAAAAACAAGTACATAATGGGTCATATACAAGGGTGAGCCTTCTTTGTTGTTGTTGTTGTTGTCGTTTGCCTTTTTTTTTTTTTTTCTTAGGGTCTCAATCTGTTGCCCAGGCTGGAGTGCAGTGGTGTGATCTCTGCTCACTGCAACCTGTGCCTCCTGGGTCCAGGCGATTCTCCTGCCTCAGCCTCCCAAGTAGCTGGGATTACAGCCACTGCCCACAACACCTGACTAATTTGTGTATTTTTAGTAGAGACAAGGTTTCACCATGTTGGCCAGGCTGGTCTCCAACTCCTGACCTCAGGCGATCCACTCGCCTTGGCCTCCCAAAGTGCTGGTATTACAGGCATGAGCCACCGTGCCCGGCTGACGAAAATAATTTTAAAGTAATGGCTAGTTCATCCACATCTATATGTACTCTCTACATACACAGTCTGAATTCAAATTCAATTATAGCCTTTTTTTTCCTGGTTACAGAAAACAGACTCTTCTTTGAATTAATAAATAAAAGTTTATTTTTATCAACTCACTTCTCCGATAAAACGTCTTCTCTTGTCTTCAGCAGGGCTCAGATGGTCCAAGAGAAAATATCACGATAATTTAATTTTTTTAATGTTACATAGACATGACATTTTAATTACTGCTTGTATCTTCTAGTAAGACCAAAGAATTCATAATTCTATATGCTGTTTCCCCATGATTAGTAGGAAAGTAGGAAAGAGAAAAACTTTTTTTTTTTCTTGAAACAGAGTCTCACTCTGTTGCCCAGGCTGGAGTGCAGTGGCACAATCTCAGCTCACTGCAAGCTCCGCCTCTGGGTTGAAGCAATTCTCCTCCCTTAGCCTCCCAAGTAGCTGGGATTACAGTTGTGCACCACCACGCCAGGCTAATTTTTGTATTTTTAGTAGAGACAGGGTTTCCCCATTTTGGCCAGGCTGCTGTCAAACTACAAACCTCAGGTGATCCACCTTCAGCCTCACAAAGTGCTGGGATTACAGGTGTGAGCCACCATGCCCAGCCTAAATGTAATTCTAAGTTTTTGTTCCATTTAACAGGTACACAGACCCTAACAATGGAAATTGATCAAGCACACTTTGCAACAATTTATATCTAATATCGCTCTCTTTGAAAGGAGGTCTCCTTATGTTGCCCAGGCTGGGCTCGAACTTCTGGGCTCAAGCAATTCTCCCGCCTCATAGTCCTGAGTAGCTGGGATCACAGGCCTGTGTCACTGTGCCCGTCTAGTGTTGTCTCTTGTATGTGACAGGAACAGATACCAGACAACCAACATGAATACTTAGGGCTCCTCAATACCATTCAAAGAGGTATGGGCGAAGTGTATGCCGACATTATTATCAGTTTAAACTTTTTCATGTTCCATTTGACAATTATAACGTGTATTTATTATGTTTGCAATTTTTCATGTTAGAATATGTGGTGACAATGTTGAAACTGACTCCACTCCTAAATTCCTAGAAAATAAGCAAAGAGTGGCCGGGTGCCATGGCCCACACCTGTGATCCCAGCATTTTGGGAGGCTGAAGAAGGAGGCTTGCTTGAGCCCAGGAGTTCGAGACCACCCTGAGCAACAGAGGTAGGCCCCATCTCTACAAAGTGTTTTGTTTTATTTTGTTTTTTTAAATTACCAGAGCATGCTGGCATACACCCGTGATCCTAGCTACTCTGGAGGCTGACGTAGGAGGATCACCTGCACCCGGGGAAGTCAAGGCTGCAATGAGCCCTGCACTCCAGTCTAGGTGACAGAGCGAGACCCTGTCTCAAAAAAAAAAAAAAAAAAAGAAAAAGAAAAAAAATAAATAAAATAGAATAAAAATAAAAATTATTTGTGCTGGTGATCCTGGTTACTCAGGAGGCTAAAGTGGAGGATCTCTTGAGATAGGTCCAGGCTGCAGTGAACCCGTCGCACCACTGCACTCCAGCCTGGGCAACAGAGCAAGACCCCGTGATTAAAAAAAAAAAAAGGAATCAGGTTCAGTGGCTTACGCCTGTAATCCCAGCACTCTGGGAGGCCGAGGTGGGCAGATCACTTGAGGTCAGGAGTTCAAGACCAGCCTGGCCAACATGGTGAAACCCCGTCTCTACTAAAAATACAAAAAATTAGCCAGGCATGGTGGAGTGTCCCTGTAATTCCAGCTACTGGGGAGGCTGAGGCAGGAGAATCGCTCGAACCCGGGAGGCGGAGCTTGCAGCGAGCCAAGAGCACGCCACTGCACTCCAGCCTGGGCGACAAGATGAGACTCCATCTCACAAAAAAAAAAAAAAGAAAAGAAAATAGCAAGGGTTAAACAACTACCAGAGCACCCTCCTACCCGCCCCTTCCTCCCTGTCTCACCTTTGTTTTCCTAGGAACAGCTTACTGGAAAGAACCAGCAATGAAGAATTACTCTTCCTCATAGCACTTCATTAAGTCTAATGATCCCCACGTTGTTTACAAAAGTAAAAGCCAGACAGAGATCTTCCAAATTCGCATTCTTTGACATCGAGGATTACTGGATTGTTTGTCCTCACTGCCAGGTGCTCATGCACTGCCCCATACCTGATCCTTTCTAGCCTTGCTCCCTGCTCCACATAAAAGAAAAACTTTTCGGCCGGGCGCGGTGGCTCAAGCCTGTAATCCCAGCACTTTGGGAGGCCGAGACGGGTGGATCACGAGGTCAGGAGATCGAGACCATCCTGACTAACACGGTAAAACCCCGCCTCTACTAAAAAATACAAAAAACTAGCCGGGCGAGGTGGCGGGCGCCTGTAGTCCCAGCTACACAGGAGGCTGAGGCAGGAGAATGGCGTAAACCCGGGAGGTGGAGCTTGCAGTGAGCTGAGATCGTGCCACTGCACTCCAGCCCGGGCAACAGAGTGAGACTCCGTCTCAAAAAAAAAAAAAAACTTTTCTTTGTGGCTCTTGGTCATGTGGAGAGCTTGTGGTTGGAGTATCCTTCCTACTGTAATAATCCTTTTGAATACAATCTCTCCCAACTAAAGTATGAATTTGTGTTTTGAGAGACGTAAATATTTTCATTATGCCATCTGTGTTGAGATCTGTTCATTCTTTTGTATTTGTGTGTGGCATAGGCTATAAAATATACTCAACAGTTGAAAATAGTTCCTACTTTAGTAAAATATTTTGAATCCTCAATGATTTGCATCTGTGTTATAATGATGTTACAGGGTAAGCATATGTTAAGATCTCTGACTGAGGAAATACCCATTTTTACTTATTAGAGAAAAAACTGTATCCATGTTGGTCTCTTGAAAATTTTATGCTAATTTTATATCCTAACAGGATCATATTTGGGTTTTGTTTTGTTTTGTTTTTCTTAGAAGGATAGATGGAGTCTCACACTGTCACCCAGGCTGGAGTGCAGTGACCTGATCTTGGGTTACTGCAACCTCCGCCTCCCGGGTTCCAGCGATTCTCCTGCCTCAGTCTCCCGAGTAGCTGGGATTACAGGCATGCACAACCACGCCCAGCTAATTTTTGCATGTTTAGTAGAGATGAGGCTTCACCATGTTGACCAGGCTGGTCTCGAATTCCTGACCTCAAGGGATCCACCGACTCAACCTCACAAAGTGCTAGGATTATATACCTTTGCCTGGCCAACAGGATCATATTTCAATTAATTAGCACTTCAAGATGAATGCAACCTTCCAATAATAGGGATGTGAGAGAAAAGCGTATTTATTAGTACATGTGAATTCACAAATATTGCCATAAAATTATTGCCAGTAGACACGAGGCTGTTTAAATTTTGATAATTTAGTTTTACTTTCTTCTACGTTCACATGAAAAAGAATAACTTGCTCACCAAATAATCTTAGCATTATTGCAAAATTGTTCTTTGGTGAAAATCAATCCAGTAGTCTTCTGAAGACTCTCTACAGGCTTTGTTATTCCCACATGAGAGAATATTAAGAAAAGAAAACACCTAAAAAAGGATCACAATTGTTAAAAGTACATTTTCTAGTTACTTTCAGAATGCATATAAAGTGAATTTGAAATTACAGTATACTTAGAAATTATTGATGTAAGCATATTACAATGTCAACTAAGTTTATCTGAAAGGGATTTGAGGTTCATTCATCTCAAATTGGAATAGAATAACATACAATAACAAATGTAAATAAGAACTATGTAATTTACATCTATTTTTTAAAGTTTTTTTTTTTTTTTTTATCTCTCGCTCTGTCACCCAGGCTGGAGTGCAGTGGCAGGATCTTGGCTCACTGCAACCTCTGCCTCCAGGGTTCAAGCGATTCTCCTGCCTCCACCTCAAGTAGCTGGGATTACACGCATGCGACACCACGCCCGGCTAATTTTTGTATTTTTAGTAGAGACAGGGTTTCACCATCATGGCCAGGCTGGTCTCGAACTCCTGACCTCAAGTGATCCACCTGCCTTGGCCTCCCAAAGTGCTGGGATTACAGGTGTGAGCCACCTCGCCCGGTCAGTTAACGCTTTTTTAAAAGCAACAATTGGTGACCTGAATTCTCACTGGCCTTAGCCCTCCATGCCCCAGGTGCTGTCACTCGGAAACTCTCTGGAGCTGAGCACAGGGTTACCTCTGTCCCTCCCATAAGAACAGGGAATAGAAAAGGAGAGGATTTCTATTCTGCTTTGTGAGCCATCAGCATGAAATTGCACATTCCACCCAGACAGGGCTTTGCAGTTCACGTATTCACTTGCCTGGTTTTTGAAGGGGGCCAGCCCCTCCACACCTGTGAGTATTTCTCCTCAGGTGGGATGAGAGACTGAGAAAAGAAATAAGACACAGAGACAAAGTATAAAGAAAGAACAGTGGGCCCAGGGGACCGGCGCTCAGCATACGGAGGACCTGCACTGGCGCCGGTACTGTACTGAGTTCCCTCAGTATTTATTGATCACTATTTTTACTATCTTAGTGAGGGGAGTGTAGCAGGGCAACAGGTGGGGAGAAGGTCAGCAGGGAAACATGTGAGCAAAGGAATCTGTATCATGAATAAGTTCAAGGAAAGGTGCTGTGCCCGGATGTGCACATAGGCTAGATTTATGTTTCTCTTTACCCAAACATCTCAGTGTAGGCACAGATCCTTTATGGGTGTCGGGCTGGGGGATGTAAGGTCTCTCCTTTCCCATGAGGCCATATCTCAGGCTGTCTCCATGGGGGGAAACTTTGGACAATACCCAGGCTTTCTTGGGCAGAGGTCCCTGCGGCTTTCCGCAGTGCATTGTGTTCCTGGTTAATCGAGAATGGAGAATGGTGATGACTTTTACCAAGCACACTGCCTGCAAACATACTGTTAACAAGGCACATCCTGCATAGCCCTAAATCCATTAAACTTTGATTCATTACAGCACATGTTTCTGTGAGCACAGGGTTGGGGCTAAAGTTACAGGTTAACAGCATCTACAGGTTAGCAGAAAAACAGAAACAATTTTTCTTAGTACAGATCAAAATGGAGTTTCTCATATCTTCCTTTTCTACATAGACACAGTAACAATCTGATCTCTCTTTCTTTTCCCCACAGCTTTCACAGACAATCCCAGGGCTTTTTAATTAAATTGCTAAAATTAGTTTTTCATGTATTTATTTTACAGACTGAGTCTCTGTCGCCCAAGCTGGAGCGCAGTGGCCATTATAACTCAGTGTAAACTCGAACTCCTGGGCTCAAGCGATCCTCCTGCCTCAGTCTTCGGGGTAGCTGGTACAGGTGCCCCACCCCACAGCCGGCTTAAGGTTAACTTTAATAGCAGGAATTTTCCTGGATCTAATCATCAGCAGACTTTGCTCTGTCCCGGCAAGAGTACAGCGCGGAGACAGCTGAGTTGCTTCAGCCTCCTTGGCAGGTCTCCTGCAAAACCCGGAAAACAGGTGCTGGAAGCGAGGCGGAGGGAAGCGCAAGCCCCGCCCCACCCCGCCCCACCCCGCCCCGGCCAGGCCGCCCTGCTGCGACCTCTCCGCTGCGCGCGCAGTTTCCCACAAACCCGGAAGCGGATCGCGTGGAGTGAAGGTCACGCCGCGGCGCGTGAGTTTCCCTTTGTGTAAATTAAAATCTGAGCTTCCCAGCTCCCCCGCGCTTCTGTACCCGGGATCTGAGAGGCCACATAGACCTTGAAATCCTGGCACCGCTCCCTCTACCCCGACCAAATTCAGGCGTCTCTGTGAGAGTCCCGCGGTCGCTTCCCTGTGTGTTTAAATCGCTCCGCGGCGGGTCCTGTCCCCCGTCTTTCTGCCACAGGGCCATGTAGTCACCTCCTATCGAGGAGTTTTCCTGCTTCAAATTCTTCTGTGATGCCTACATCCGCCCCGCACCGCGTAAAGTCCTCCCCCGCTAGGTGGATTCCGGTCTATCAGGTCCCCCAAGCCTCGCCTTTGTTGACCCTGGAGCGCAGCGCTCCAATCGCAGTCCAGGAGAAGCCGCGTCTTCTGCCGAGTCCTGGGATTCTGCAGACGCCACCCCTCCCTTGATCCAGACCCTCCTTGATCCGGGGCCCCGCTACTTCCCAGGCCTCCTCTTCCCAGCCACCGCTTCTCCTGACCCTGGGTGTGGGGAGGTGACTTACTCTGTCTTCTGGCATCCAGTGTTCTTGCAGTCTAAATAACACCCCACTGAAAAGGTTCTTCTGCATGTGGGCATCTGATCCCAATTCCTTCCATGTGCATGTGTGCAGAAAGAGAGATCTGGAGAGCGAGGGAGAAGAAAGAGAAACATCTTGAAGGAGAAAGGAAGATTGAGGGAGAGCCCTAAGCAGATGGCAAAGTAGAAAGTGGATGGGGCATTTGCAGAGACAGCGAATGAAGCCGAGAAAGTAGCAGGGGGAGAAAAGCAACTGAAGAAATGCAGAGAAAAGTGCCATCTCCGGAGAGATGAAGGACTGCAAGATAGTGAGAGGGGCAGCAAAGTGGGAAGTTCCTCAGTTTGAGAGTGGGGGAGAGGAGGAGGGATTTGGAGCCAGGGCAGACAGAGCAGCGTAGTGCTGGGACAGCAAGAGGGGTCAGCTGGTGACAAGGAGAGCAGAGGGAGAACCACACCAGGGGGAGGGCTGGGATCTCCGGGTGCCAGAGAGTGGGGACAAGGGGTGCAACAGGAAAGAAAGGGTTTAACAGGGAGAGCAGAGGGGGAACAGAGACAGGGAAAGAGGCAGGACCGGGCACGGTGGCTCATGCCTGTAATCCCAGCAGTTTGGGAGGCCGAAGTGGGTGGATCACCTGAGGTCAGGAGTTTGAGACCAGCCTGGTCAACAGGATGAAACCCCGTCTCTAATAAAAATACAAAAATTAGCCGGGCATCGTGGCACGCGCCTGTAATCCTAGCTACTCAGGAGGCTGAGGCAGGACAATCGCTTGAACCCTGGAGGCGGAGGTTGCAGTGAGCTGAGATCGTGCCATTGAACTCCAGCCTGGGCGACATGAGCAAAACTCCGTCTCAGAAAACAACAACAACAGCAACAACAACAAAAAGTAAGAGGCAGAAATAGGTGGAGATTGGGATGATCAAAGATTGAGCAGAAAGTTTGGAAAAGGTGTGGAACAAGTTGCCAGAATGGAGCAGAACAGGTGGAAGAGAAGGAAGAGAAGGAATAAGGGGAGAAACATTAGGAGAAGAGAGAGGCTCAAAGTGAGCAGAATCTTAGGGGAAAAGTAAAGAGGGGGAAAAAAAGCTAGAGAAAGAAGGTGAGAATGATAGATGCGTACAGAATGAGGGAGGGAAACACAGTAGTGAGAATAGAGGGAACCCTGGGTGCAGATGAATGGTGAGTTGATTGGCTATTATGATGAAGTTGTGACATTGATTAATCTGATTATATGAAATGTGCTTTAAAAATACAGATGAAGATGAGATGTGCAAAACTCCTGTCTGTGAGGCTGGTGCATTTTATAATTCTTGGCATCAGATTTTAGCTTCCACTCACATTCCCTATTCAGGCACAGGTCAGTGACTTGAGTCATTCAGGTGTGGGTCACCCACTTTCCTTTTCCTGGGATGGGGTATGGTGTGGGCGAATGTATAAGATAGCAGGAAAACCAGTGTTCTTCCTACTCTTGCAATCAACACAATAATGAACACTTAACACAAAATGCTTCATATCTGATGAAAAAAATGTGTGGGGATTTCTTCCCACCAATAAGCAATTCGTCAGACACCGCCTGGGGGATCTGTAATTTCACTCAAGTTGACACTGTCTACATGGAGTTAGCATCAGATCCCACAGGTTGGGGGCTCAGTTCCACAAGCCTGCCCCTATTTCATGTGCTGGTTGTAAGTTCCAGGTTGGGACCTGAACTTCAACCAAACATCTAAAAATTGAGGATTCCCTTGACCCTTTGCTCAGATTTTATTAATTTGTTAGCCTGGTTCACAGAACTCAAGGAAGCATTTGTTTAATTTTATCCATTTGCTATGAAGAATATTGCAAAAGATACAGATGAATAGCCCGATGGAAGAATCCTCCTAGCAAATTAATCAAAAGAAGGGGCTTTGGGATACCCTGATTTTTTTTTTCTTTTTCTTTTTTTTTTTTTTTTTGAGACAGAGTTTCACTCTTGTTGCCCAGGCTGGAGTGCAATGGTGTGATCCCAGCTCACCACAACCTCCACCTCCCAGTTTCAAGCATTTCTCTTGCCTCAGCCTGCCAAGAAGCTGGGATTATAGGTATGTGCCACCATGCCCAGCTAATTTTTGTATTTTTAGTAGAGATGAGGTTTCACCATGTTGGCCAGGGTGGTCTTGAACTCCTGACCTCAGGTGATCCACCTGCCTCAGCCTCCCAAACTGTTGGGATTACAGGCATGAGCCACCATGCCTGGCTGACACTGGCAGTTTAGATATGCCAATGAGAAGCTATCACATGCATCTTTTAAGTGGAATAAATAGAGTTCAGTACTGTTTGAAGTTCCAGGCATCCAATGGGGGACTTGGGACATGTCCCTCATGGATAAGCAGATTCCACTGTGTTCTGTATCTGGCGCTGAGCACCAAGGCTCTGTGTCCTCCATTTCTGAGTGATTACATGAGTCTGGGATCCATAGAGATGGGAGTGGGGCTGTGCTCTGCATGGGGTTTGGTCAGGGCGGGGTCTGGCCCTGAAGGGGAGCTTAGTCCAGGCCAGCTCCCCACTGCTGCAGCGTGCATGTGGGCATCCCTAGGAGGGGAGCAGATTCTGAAGAAAAGAGTAAAAAACTCACTTGTTGTTCTTTCTGTAGGAGTTTCTTGTCCCTGCATCAACTCTGGTGCAGCGGACAGCAGAGGACATTTTCCACAGGGTGAGGTCTAACCTGTGTGTGTGGTTGTGGCACAGGAAGAGGGTGTGATTCTAAGCCCTAAACAGCATATTTTTGACATTTAGGATTGACTTCTAAAGAGTCATGCTGTGTGATGAAAAAGCCCAGAAGAGAAGGAAGAGGAAAGCAAAGGAGTCAGGGACGGCTCTTCCTCAGGTGAGGTGATATTCTTGGTGGATTTTTCTGTCTCCTTTGTTTCAGAAACGTTGGGCCTTGGAGTTGGGAATCTTCTCTGAGTCTGACAGGTTTGCTTGCACTCATCTATGCCTTCCCTCAGTGCTGAGACCAGCTCGGTCAGGGGGACCCTAACCTGGCGGTAGAGGAATTAAAGACACAGACACAAGACAAAAGTAGGATCAGGGGCCAACAGCCTTTACAGCTGAGAGCTGCAAACAGAGTTTGACCCATGTAGTTATTGACAGCAAACCGTTGATAAGGATTGTTTCTATAGATTATAGATTAACTAAAAGCATTCCTTACAGTAAACAAAACATTCTTAATGAGGAGTAGAGAAACAGGCTCTGGCTAATTATCTGCAGCAAAAATGTGTTGTTAAGGCACAGGCCACTCATGCTATTGTTTGTGGCTTGAGCAGTTTTCCACTCCGGGCAGGCCAGGTGTTCCTTGCCCTGCTCCAATAATCCAACAACTTGTAGCAGTGTGCGTCATAGCCATCACAAGCATGTTTCATTGCTGCAAAAATCCTGTTTATGGCCAGTTTCTTTAAAGCCTGTTTATGACAGGCTTAGGGCCTGTTGCTAGCATGTCCCCCTTTCTGTTTTTGCAAAGCGATAAAGGCAAAGGCTGCTTTGTCATGGTGGGTTACTTCTCACAGGATTTGGGATCCAGATCTGCAAACTACACAAAGACAAACAACACAGATTAAAAGCACAATCATTGTTGAAATCAGAGCCTCCAAGTGTCTCGATCCGTTTTAATGGGTTAATAGCTGCTAATCTGTCTGCAGCTCCTTCAAGCTCTTTAGTTCCTGGAATTAGCATCAGATGTGCCTGAGAGACTTGAAGTACTTGTTCCTTCAGTTTTGCAATATCCAAAGATAAATTTCCAGTATGACCCTTTAAATGTCTCTTAACTCTTTCCTACTCTTGCTCTGTTTCATTATACAGATGAGGAGTAATGTAAGAATCAGAAGTATTCCAATCACATTGTAACCGCATTCTATATTCTAGACTAACTAACTACTCGATCTCCTAGCCACATTACAGTTTGTTGGAGATCACTGATTTGATTAGGTAGTTTTTGGTCTGTATTAGTTTGGGAATTCCACAGCAAAGTAGAATTTTTCTGCCGATTATTTACATAGTCTGCTGTTTGTACTGTGGAATGCAAAGTAACTCCAGCTACCGTGGCAGTAGCTGTGACAGCAATCAATCCCATGATGATTAAAATTAAAGTGGCAATGAAACGCCGAGAGCACCTCAAATTCTTTTTTCTTTTTGAGACGGAGTCTCGCTCTGTCACCCAGGCTGGAGTGTGATCTCGGCTCACTGCCATCCCTGCTTCCTCCCGGGTTCATGCCATTCTCCTGCCTCAGCCTCCTGAGTAGCTGGGACTACAGGTGCCCACCACCACGCCCAGCTAATTTTTTGTATTTTTAGTAGAGATGGGGTTTCACCATGTTAGCCAGGATGGTCTTGATCTCCTGACCTCGTCATCAGCCCGCCTCGGCCTCTGAAAGTGCTGGGATTACAGGTGTGAGCCACCACGCCCGGCTGAATTCTTTTGAAGAATTTCAGTAATAATATGTACAGAAGGAGAGGCTTCCTAAGGACAGGAAAGCTTTATGGGTATCCATACTCCTTCTTGGGCTGTTACCACTAAAATAGAATGATCAATAGTATACAAGGAAGAATTCACACAAGAAAACAATCTACATTCTTGACAAGTCACATGATAGTTAGGGACATCAGGTTTTAAATCACCCACTACAAACAGGAAAGGAGGCCTTATTGTCAGTCTTGACATGGCTGCAACTGGGGGGTCCTCACGTTCCTCCCAAAAATCTCTTCCTCAGCATCTGGCTCATGATAAGGCTTCAGGTGTCTTGATGATATCCAAATCGGCTGCTGGTTTTGGCCTGGAGATACACAAGCATAACTTCTACCCCAAGTTATTATTTTACCTATTTCCCAACTTTTTGTTATCGGATCTCTCCACCAAATCAGTTGTTGCACTTCCATCTTTGCAGCTGATTTCTGTAGATGCTGTTAGTTGCTGATAGCATCTGGACTTTAGGCAGGCTCAAAAAGTTTAAAGTCAATAATGCTAGATTCAATTGCATATTTTGGGTTCTATAATCACTGTTCCCCCCTTTCTGTTTTTGTAATTGCTATTTTAGGGGGAGATTCATTCTTTCCACAATGGATTGTCCTTGTGAATTATATGGGATGCCAGTAATGTGTTTAATATGCTATAGAGAGAAAAATCTAGCTGGAGCTTCACTAGTACAGCCTGGGGCATCATCTGTTTTAACAGAAGCTGGAATGCCTATCACTGCAAAGCATTGCAGAAAATGCCATTTAACACAGGCAGAAGATTCCCTTGTTTGACAGGTAGCCTAAACAAAGTGAGAAAAGGTATCTACACATGCATGCACATAAGCCAATTTACCAAAAGAAGGAACATAAATGACATCCATTTGCCAAAGACAATTAGGTTCCAATCCTCGAGGATTAACTTCTCCTGTAAAAGATGAGGAATGCACCATTTGGCAAGTTGGGCATTGCTGGATAATAGCTTTAGCTTCTTCCCAGGTAATGCTGTATCTGCATTTGAGACCAGAGGCATTAACATGGGTTAAATTGTGAAAGTGTCTAGAATTAGATACTGCAGTAGCAACTAGGCGATCAACCATTTGATTCCCTACAGTTAAAAGTCCTATAAAGTGTGTGTGAGTTCCAATATGAGTAATGTAAAAGGGTGCATTCTATTCCTAACTGGTTTGTAATTGGGTAAATAAAGTCATTAGTTGTTAATCTGTATGAAATCGTAACTGAGCGTTTTTAATTAATTGTGTGGAATGGACTACATATGAAGAATTAGAAATTACATTGACAGGCAGCTTAAAAGCAGTCAGTAGCTTAATTACAGCTACAAGCTCCTTTTTGAGCTGAAGTATAGGGCGTCTGGAAAATTTTAGTTTTTGATGCAGAATAAAAAGATTTACTATTACTAGACCCATCTGTAAAAACATTTTCAGCACTTTTAATTTGTTTAAATTTAGTTATTCTAGGGAGAATCTAGTTAATTTTAAAAATTGAAATAATTTTGTTTTTGGAAAGTGATTATTAAGAACACCCACGAAATCAGCTAACTGGGTTTGCGAAGTAAGATTATTTATAAAGGCTTGTTGTATTTGTGCCTTCGTAAAAGGATCATATCCATGCAATTTCGCAATTCCATGCAATTTAGCAATTCAAGTTCTCCTATTGCCTATCAGAGTAGCAATTTGATCCAAATAAGGACTTAGCATCCACGAATTAGTATGGGGAAGAAAGAGCCATTCTACCAAGTCCTGCTCTTGGACAATAACACCAGTAGGTGAATGCTGAGTTGGAAAAATCAGTAAGTCTAAAGTCTTTTCTGGATCTACTCTATTTATTTGAGCTTTATATACTTGTTTTTCAATCAGTTGTAACTCTGCCTCAGCCTCCTTTGTTAATTGCCAAGGGCTAGTGAGACTAGGATCTCCTTTAAGGATAGAAAATAGATTACTCATTGCATAAGTAGGAATGCCTAGAGCAGGTCGTATCTAATTAATGTCCCCTAGTAATTTTTGAAAGTCATTCAGTGTTTTCAATTGATCCTTACATATGATTATTTTCTGTGGCAGTACTGTAGTGTCATTTACTAAGTAGTGTCATTTACTATTGTAGTGTCATTTACTCCCCAAGTCGGAGTAAGGAGTACTTGTCCTGAATTTCGTCAGGAGCTATAATTAAACTGGCACGAGAAATCAAATTTTGTAAGTGATTGTAACATTGGAGTAATATTTCCTGAGTGGGGGCAGCACAAAGAATATCGTCCCATTGTTTTCCTTTTTTGCATTTTGGACATATTCCAGGCTTAGCAGTTATCTTTTTCCCCCCAAACTGGTGGCCTGACTTGGTGATTTTTTCTACAGTCTTTTTTAGTATGACCATGTTTCCCACATTAAAACAAGCTCCAGGAAATGGAGTATTTCCTTTACCCACTTTCATTCCTGCCATTGCCTGGGCTAGCAGAGTAGCCTTATGCAGATTACCTCCGATACCATCACAAGGTTTAACATAGTCAACCAAATGTGCTTTTCCCCTAATAAGTCGCAGAGTGACTTGGCACTCAGGATTGGCATTGTCGAAAGCTAATAACTGCAATACTATGTCCTCAGCAGCTGAATCTGCGATCACCTTTTTAAGAGACCCCTGTAATTTACTTATAAAATCTGTATACAGTTCTTTCAGTCCCTGCTTTACAGCACTTGAGGGGTATTGTTCCCACCTGAGGTGATTTTTTCCCCAAGCTCTAATGCACAGTCCTCTAAGCTGCTCTATGGCATCATCCTGCATAAGCCTCATCTGCCCACCAAGTTTTAAATTGTAAGAACTGAGCAGGAGTTAGACAAGCTCAAGTAAGTGCATCCCAATCAGTAGGAATCATTTGAATGGAGACAGCAACATTCTTTAACAATCCCATTACAAAAGGAGAACCTGGTGCATATTGATTAATAGCTTGTTTAAATTGTTTAAGTATTTTAAAAGGAAGAGGCTCAAATGTAGCCATAATATTCCCCTGTTGATCAGGTGGGTGTATTCTAACAGGGAACTGCCAAGCATCCATATCACCCTCTCGTCTAGCTTCCTGGATTCCTGCCTGAATAGAACCGAGAGCAGTCCCTTGAGGTGCTCCTTGAACAGTCACTGGGGCAACTACTTTTCACCCAGTGTCCTCTGGAAAAGAAAGATCTGGAGGGTCAGGCCACTCTTTTTCTTCAAAATGATGAGGGGATGTAGACGGGTACGGACAAACCTCTCCCTCCTTTGCTGCTTTAGCTGGTAAGGAAACCTGCTCTGTCACTTCTTCTGTTACTTCGTTACATGCTCCTTCTTCCTCTGATTCCTCCTCCTCGTCATCTGTGTGGAAAGGCTCCAAGGTGG